CCACTGTTTTTTTTTGTTTAAGCTTGAGTTTTCTTTACAGTTGAGACAATAGAAATCATGATTTGTGATGTCTACAATGCAAGTATAGTCATTTTATTTGCTCTCCAATACGACTACTTACACCTGTCCTCTGACTGTTTATAAGTAATGTAGATAATAGTTGGAAAAAAGTTTTCTTTGGGTTCTACTTTATTTTACAGCACCCTGCATGTACGTCTCTGTGCAATACATTTTATGCCAAATCTGATATGAAAACTATCATAAATCAGGCAACACATTCTTAACCATTTTATTTGATAGCTTTCTGTGAAGAATCTTTTAGAGCTATTAAATGCTTTGGACGTCTGGTCCCCATCACCACCACTGCGAACAATTCTGACTCGGTACGTTTCTTTAGAACGGAGCATCTCACATCGAACCTCTCTTAACGATCTCTTAACAATCTAATCAGCTGAATCAGGGAGAAACTTTGAAAAATCAATGGAATGCCCCTTTAAGGTCACACAGACTTGACAATGTTTTTTTTTAGGACAAAGTATGACTCACTCTGGGCTATAAAAAGATATTTACTTATATACTGTGAGTACTGAAAATATTTATTAATACTTTATAATTAAAAATACTTTAATAAACATGTAGCTGTGCATTCATTAAAAGCCTCGTCCCAAATCCACAACATGCGCACACGAGGACTGCAAAGCTATCCCATTGCTCAGTGGGGTAATCAGAATGGTGCTCACTAGTTTCCTCTAGGTGCCCTGACGAACTGCAACAGAGTGACCTCTTACTCAAAATTCAGACGCAGGCAGGAATGAGTGGACGGTTCTGTTTACATCTGTTTAATCAACATAGTGGAGAAGGAGATATTCAGATGAGAGTAATAATGCATTTGTTTATTAATTCAACTTGTCATTGAGCTGCAGTCTGCTTGTAATCTGAATTCATATACTGCAGATAAGCAAATTAGATCTTAAAATCAGTAACAAGCACAACCGACACTAATGACTGGCACACCAATGACGATACACATGAAGAGCCTGCACATCGCAGACACAGTCTGAAATACAAAGGTTTGAGCCTAGAACCCTTGAGGTTTCCAGCTCTACAGATGTGCATGTTGTTTACGTCTTTAAAGTGTGGACTATGGAGAGGACTACAGGGCTTAATGTGCCATTTGGGACCGGGCTTTAAACTACATGGGTGTTGTGCCAGATTCCCTCTTCATGTCCTGTAGGCTTGTGGATGCTACACATTACGTCTGCAGCGTTTGTGGTTCTTATCTATATAGAACTGTTAATCTTGAATTTTTGGAACCACAGAAATTATGAATCTAATCTAGTGTCCATAAGCTTGCGTGGGAGTCGGATTCTGCAAGTAAGTCCGATTTGCGTTGTGCAAAGGTTTGCGGTTTGCATTGTGCAGAGTGAATGCTCGCAGCGTTCAGCTACATGGAGAAGTTGTGTTTTTATAGCTGTCAATCAGTTATACTGTGTTCTAAACCACATAAACATTTATGAATGAATACATGAGTACATTAATGAAGACCTGGTTGTGGCTTGAGTGGAGCTGAGTGAAGTTTTGGGGATGTATTTAACCCTCTATTGCACGACGTTGCCTCAGGGCAACAAACTCATTTTCCTCATATTACAGTAACGTTATACATATTTAAAGACAACGAAAGTCATACTATTTCTTAGTGGGCACATCTAAACCTTATTTTTACCATTCAGTATCAATTTTTTTGGTATGAGAATTTGCAGAAATATGTTTGTTGCCTAGAAGCAACATTGTGCAACGGTGGAATGGATTTAGCCAGTCACAAGCCAGGTCCCACCGCTTCAGGGAACACAGTTCTATATTATTTCTTCTTATTGTCGCACAATGTTGCCTCAAGGCAACATACTTCAAAAGGACCCCTGCACATGTTACATTATTTATTTATTTATTTTAATGTTTTTGAATTTAATAATCAGGTCTGAAAAAAACAAATCAATAATGATTTTATTCAAGAAAAGTTTTTTTAATATATTTTTTTTCATTGCTTTCATAATGTGTGCGGTAGAGGGTTAAAGAAAAGATTTGGGTGACTATTGACTTGTTCTTATTAGCAACATCAGCTTCAAAGGTTTACATTATGCAATAATGACTGCATTTTACAGGGCCTGGTTTAAATAGGGATATTTTCATCAAGAATATTTACCCGATAACGACTTGATCGGGGTGATCCTCTGTAATTTGAACCTTTTTGTTTGCCCAGCTGAAATTAAAGCAACACATGCTGTAGGTATATCAATATGAATCCGCTGCCAGCGACTTTCCTTGTTATAACATTAACAAGCCACTATGGGGCGCCATTTACCCACAGTCAGTGGCAATGTGAGCTCACAGACCAGTGCTCTGTTTGTTTAAGTGGTAGAAGTGATTATATGAGCGGTTTCTTACACTGATGAGTCACAGTGTACACAGCTTACTCTTAAGCACCTTTCAAGAGCCACTGCAACTGGTAGACCATTTTAGGAAGTTAACTTTTTGTAAAATGTAATATAAACAAGAATCTGTGATTTTTTTTTTTTTTCATTTTCTTTATTTAACTGACAAAACTTTTTTGATTACACTTTTCAATCTCTTGGGAGCTGAGTATACTAAATGTTGCAGTTTTGCACATGTAATTTTTGCTCACTCTTGCTTGATACAAGACTTCAGAAGCTCAATAGTCTGTATGAACTTGAGTGACATTCCACTCTTAATCCATAGGGTTTAATATGATGTCGGCCCACCCTTTGCAGCTATAACAGCTTCCACTCTTCTGGGAAGGCTTTCCACAAGGTTAAGGAGTGTTTAAGGGAATTTTTGACCATTCTTCCAGAAGCACATTTGTGAGGTCAGACACTGATGCTGGATGAGAAGGCCTGGCTCGCAGTCTCCGCTCTAATTCATCCCAGAGGTGTTCTATCGGGTTGAGGTCAGGACAAGTTCAAGTTCTTCCACACCAAACTCGCTCATCCATGTCTTTATAGACCTTGCTTTGTGCACTGGTGCGCAGTCATGTTGGAACAGGAAGGGGCCAAACTCCCCAAACTGTTCCCACAATGTTGGGAGCATGAAATTGTCCAAAATCTCTTGGTGCTGAAGCATTAAGAGTTCCTTTCACTGGAACTAAGGGGCCGAGCCCAACTCCTGAAAAACAACCCCACACCATAATCCCCCCTCCATCAAACTTTACACTTGGCACAATGCAGTCAGACAAGTACCGTTCTCCTGGCAACCGCCAAACCCAGACTCATCAATCGGATTGCCAGACGGAGAAGCGTGATTCATCAATCCAGAGAACACGTCTCCACTGCTCTAGAGTCCAGTGGCGCTTTACACCACTGCATTCGATGCTTTGCATTGTGCTTGGTGATGTAAGGCTTGAATGCAGCTGCTCGGCCATGGAAACCCATTCCATGAAGCTCTCTACACTGTTCTTGAGCCAATCTGAAGGCCACATGAAGTTTGGAGGTCTGTAGTGATTGACTCTGCAGAAAGTTGTCGACCTATGCACCTCAGCATCCGCTGACCCCACTCTGTCATTTTACGTGGTCGACCACTTTGTGGTTGAGTTGCTGTCGTTCCCAATCGCTTCCACTTTGTTATAACACCACTGACAGTTGACTGTGGAATATTTAGTAGTGAGGAAATTTCACGACTGGACTTGTTGCACAGGTGGCATCCTATCACGGTACCACGCTGGAGTTCACACTGAGCTCCTGAGAGCGACCCATTCTTTCACTAATGTTTGTAGAAGCAGTCTGCAGGCCTAGGTGCTTGGTTTATACACCTGTGGCCATGGAAGTGATTGGTACACCTGAATTCAATGATTTGGATGGGTGAGTGAATACTTCTGGCAATACAGTGTAAGCCAAAAGGAATGACAGATTTCTCATAATGTAGTGGAGTAAAAAGTAAGATATTTGACTTTGAAATGTAGCGGAGTGAAAGTAAAAAGTCACCAAAAATGGAAATACTTCAGTAAAGTACAGATACACAAAAAACTACTTCAGTACAGTAATGAATTACATTTACTTCATTACTGTCCACCACTGGTGTTATTTTCCTTTATTTTTTCATAAGTGCAACAGCATGGAATAGTGGAAAGTACATGTGGTAACAACTCATTTCACACTGCACTTAACCATCACTATGTTTCTTCTTAAGCTTCTTTAGTTTCCCCGAGAAACAGGACGTGTGTGTGTAAACCACAAGAGATGACAGAAACTCGGTTCTGTTTCTCTCCAAAATTGTACCACAGCTCCCAACGTGATTGGCTGAGAAGCCTCTAACCCCAGTTTTAAAACCCCTTTATGTATTCTTCCACTTGCATCCTAGCAGTAGGTGCCAGCCTTTGCAACAGCTAACAGCTGCCAAAATGTAGAGGACGATAGCACGAATTATCTTTTGGATCTGATAATATTAATACCAAGACTAATATCCTAACACAAACACCATTAAAGGTTCTCTTGTGTGCACTATTAGGGGAATTAATTCCTGGTGATCTCTCCAGTGAAAAACAGTATCCTAATACCTAAATTAGAAAGCCTTTGTATTAGGATTAAATAAACGTACATGCACTGTTAGAAATAAAGGTTCTGTGCAGATATACTTTTCATTCAATGTAAAAGTGCCCTCAAAAGGTACAACAGTGGTTTTAAGGTCCAATTGTGTACCTTAAATGTGCTTTTCCCAGGTGAAAAGTACAACCCCATTTCCAAAAAAGTCGGGACGCTGTGCAGAATGTAAACTCTGTGAAAGACTGCGCAACAATAACGTTTCTCAACATAAAACAGCAAAGAACTTTTGCTTTTCATCGTCTACGGTACATAATATGATTAAAAGATTCAGATTCATGACTGAATACCCACAGTGATTTGTATGGTTACTGGAATTGAGTGTAGCAGCACCGCCCCCTCACATTACATCAAGGAAAGAACGCTGCAGTCAGATCAGACTGACACAGCTGCTGGAGAGATGGGGGCTAAAAATTCTCAACCAAGCAAAGCCAGAATAAACCCAACATATGTAAGAATGGACACTTTATTTACTTTATTATAAACTTAGTCTTTTATCTTCGTTTGTGACAGTGCAACAGTGAGATGGTGGTGACCAGTAGAGTGATTCAACGGGCAGCTTTTTAAAGGGCGTCGACAGACTCTAAGATTTAAGTAATTTACTTACAGCATCAGATTTGTCCACAGTTGCGGTAAAGATGACCGAATATCTGAAGAGTTTAATGCCTCTAAAAGCTCCCTTACAAAAAGCTATTACATTAAATGCTTAAACACACGCGGTCTAATGTCTGAGGCATTGTTTACTGTCCTAAGACATATTTTAAAATCTATTCATGGTGGAGGAGTACATGCATGGGAATTTTTTTCAGATTTACCACTATTTTACCATCATCAACATTACCTATTAAACTCAAAAGAGTACATAAAGTAAATAAAATGGCTTTATTTGTGTTGTAGACATCATGACCCTTGGTTCCTATCACCACTGTATCTGAATGGATACATTTGTGAGATGTACCATTTCACAGTATAACACTTTAAATTACTTTACATAGTTTGTATTCTGAATGACTTAGTTTACTGAAATTTTAAAAGGTAATTCAGCCAAATGCAAAATGAGAACGCAATGCTTTGTACTTTAAAATCCTTTTAAATACTTTAAGCTTGTGTGTGATACACTGTGAATTGGTAGGCAGTTTACTGATGTTTTATACTGAACAGTCTTGATCAAATTTTATTTATTGTTGACCAGTTTTAATGACTTTCGCTGCTAAGTACTAAAAGGATTTGATTAAAAGCAGCTAATTAAAGCGTAAACCAACTTTACTTGAAAACATTGTTCTGAAATGTTACACTTAAAATGTATTAAAGGAATGGAGTAAAACCTGAGTAGTAATTTCATCTTTGTTTACTTGAACCCTTGTTATTTTTGTAAATGACACAATATGAATATGTTAATTAAAGCCTCCTTAACCAAAGCCCACAAAAGAACCTTCTGCTATAGATCAGCTCAGTCAAATTCTGTCTTAAGTTTTTTTTCAACTATAGCAGAATTTCTGGTCATTATATTATTATTGTTATCGTTAACCATCGTTCACCACCATCATAACCTTACCTAGCAAGTTAATGACATCAGTGTTGGAGAAATGTATCTATATCAGAGTTCATTTAGTCTTTGTTTCTTTCTGACATGCTTTCTTGCTCAGCAGGCTCCCTTAAAAGCGAACAGCTGTGGACTAATAACTGAGAAAGGCCAGCAAGGTATTCTCATTTTATTTCAACAACAAATAAGATCTTATTACGTTTATAACTCCTATTTGTGATGGATACTTACTTGAACTTGTGCAGGTTGATACACTATAAAATATAACTGCAACAACTATCGTTGTTTTAGGTTTACTAATTTGTTAAAATTACTAATGCAAGTCTAGTAACACACTATTTCTTGTATAATCCTTAGTTACCGAGGTAAATCTAGTTAAGATCAGTTGATTTAGATAAGTCCTACAGACTGAGGAGTCTTGTGCACGAAAAGCTTCCCAGCATTCTTAGCAGTTTTCCCAAGATTTAACTCTCAAATAAAGTATTTGATTCACGTTAACCATACGAATCTAAGATTAAGCAGAAATTGACAAGGTAAGGTATTGCCAGCTCAGTGGAAACCATTAATAATCACTGGGCTGTTTTGGTTAACCTTACTTGCTGCAGTATATATAAGTTGATTAAACTTGAACCTGTTAAGCAGCTTTACTTATTTTTTTCAAGGCAATACATTTGCATGATTTCTTTTGTAACTTTTGTAGATTTTGTAACTTTGATTTATGTCCTTTTTTCATGCATACATATTGTGTATATATTGTCACAGTAAAGTAGTTTACAGTGCCCTGATTTCATGATTGTTTTACTTGTAAGTGGTAGTGGTCAAAAACAGGAATGTGTGGTCTGGTACTTTCCACACATAAGAAAGTTGTTTTGTCCTCTGTTTTCTGTCTTATATTTATATACAGTGGTGTGAAAAAGTGTTTGCCCCTTCCTGATTTCTTATTCTTTTGCATCACCAAACAAATTTAAATATTAGACAAAGATAACACAAGTAAACACAAAATGCACTTTATAAATGAAGGTCTTTATTATTAAGGGAAAAAGAAATCCAAACCTACAGGGCCCTGTGTGAAAAAGTCATTGCCCCCTAAACCTGATAACTGGTTGGGCCACCCTTAGCAGCAACAACTGCAATCAAGCGTTTGTGATAACTGGCAATGAGTCTTTTACAGCGCTGTGGAGGAATTTTGGCCACTCATCTTTGCAGAATTGTTGTAATTCAGCCACATTGGAGGGTTTTCAAGCATGAACTGCCTTTTTAAGGTCGTGCCACAGCATCTCAATCGGATTCAGGTCAGGACTTTGACTAGGCCGCTCCAAAGTCTTCATTTTGTTTTTCTTAAGCCATTCAGAGGTGGACTTGCTGGTGTGTTTTGGATCATGGTCCTGCTGCAGAACCCAAGTGCGCTTCAGCTTGAGGTCACAAACACATGGCCGAACATTCTCCTTCAGGATTTTTTGGCAGACAGCAGAATTCATGGTTCCATTTACCACAGCAAGTCTTCCAGGTCCTGAAGCAGCAAAACAGCCCCAGACCATCACACTACCACCACCATATTTTACTGTTGGTATGATGTTCCTTTTCTGAAATGCTGTGTTACTTCTACGCCAGATGTAATGGGACATACACCTTCCAAAAAGTTCAACTTTTGTCTCGTCAGTCTGCAGAGTATTCTCCCAAAAGTCTTGGGGATCACCAAGATTTTTTCTGGCAAAACTGAGACGAGCCTTTATGTTCTTTTTACTCAGCCGTGGTTTTCGTCTTGGAACTCTGCCATGACTCTTTCTTATGGTGGAGTCATGAACACTGACCTTAACTGAGGCAAGTGAGGCCTGCAGTTCTTTGGATGTTGTTGTGGGGTCTTTTGTGACCTCTTGGATGAGTCTTCGCTGCGCGCTTGGGGTAATTTTAGTCGGTCGGCCACTCCTGGGAAGGTTCACCACTGTTCCATGTTTTTGCCATTTGTGGATAATGGCTCTCACTGTGGTTCGCTGGAGTCCCAAAGCTTTAGAAATGGCTTTATAACCTTTTCCAGACTGATAGATCTCAATTACTTTGTTTCTCATTTGTTCCTGAATTTCTTTGGATCACAGCACGATGTCTAGCTTTTGAGGATCTTTTGGTCTACTTCACTTTGTCAGGCAGGTCCTAATTAAGTGATTTCTTGATTGAGAACAGGTGTGGCAGTAATCAGGCCTGGGTGTGGCTAGGGAAATTGAACTCAGCTTTCCAAAGATGTGATAAACCACAGTTAATTTATGTTTAAGTGGATTTCTTTTTCCCTTAATAATAAAGACCTTCATTTATAAACTACATACATCATCTAAACTGCTTATCCTTCTGGGTCGCGGTGGGGGCTGGAGCCTATCCCAGCTGTCATTGGTCGGAAGGCAGGATATGTATGTATGTATGTATGTATTTATAAACTGCATTTTGTGTTTACTTGTGTTATCTTTGTCTAATATTTAAATTTGTTTGGTGATGTGAAACATTCAAGGACCACAGGTGTTTTCAAATTATTTCAAAAACTGAAAAACATCAAAAATGAAGATACTAAGTTTTTTCCCGACAGCAGCGATATATATATACTTTATTTTACTTACATTATTTCTGCTTTTTTCTTTTGCCCAAGTTCCTCTGAAGAGTGTGGAGGTGGAGGTGCAGGTGAAGGGGCATGTTGCCACGGTAACGTCCACCCTGCAGTATGTGAATGAGGAGGAACTTCCATTGGAGGCCCTGTTTGTGTTCCCGTTACCTGCAGAAGCAGCTCTCTGTCACTTCAGTGCCAAGATCGCCGACCAGGAGGTGGTGGCCGAGGTGCAGGAGAAACAGAAGGTGGGCGATCTTTTGTGCCTAACTCATGTCATCCCAGTCTCAGCTGAATAATATTTCAATAAATAAAGTGCAAGATCTCATGGTTTTCTTATACAGCTCTACTCTCTATCACACTCTTTCAGCAGACTGTTAGTGTACAATGAGAATGAGAGCTGATTTTAATCTCCACTGTTCTCCTAAGACATTGATCAGCCTCTCTTTTGTCTAAGAGATTAATTATGTTTTAATAATTAACTTCTCTTTAAAGGTTTTGTATGGTTAAATAGACTATCTGGTATGGTTATGTTTGGGTATAGTCTGGTATGGTGATATAGATTTTTGTTATATAAATATATGTGTCCGATGTGTTGGCATAGCTCAGCGTTCACATTTTTTTCACTGAAACACAGGCTGTCTCAGTACATCTGAAAAAAATGTTAAATAGCAGCTTAGAATAGCATAGATTTTTTTCTTCATATGTGACACAGATGTGTGTCTTTGTGTCAGTGTGAACAGATGAACACACTGAATATGACATTTTCAATTCCAATTTGAGACGCTTACTTTTGTGGTACTGAAATCTGATCCGTATCCGATCTGCGGCAATGCAGCTCAGTCTGAACAACCAGACCGGAATTCATGCGTTTTTTACGTCAATCCAACTCGACATTCGTCATCATTTCGCATTGCTGAGACTCATAAACATTTGAGGTGATATTTCTGTTAAAAAATGATTAGAGACTCATCCAAAACCCTCCGTATTCAGAAATGTCCAAACGTGGCTGTAGGAGAACGAGGCTGCAGCATCAAAGAACAGTGAAAAGTCTGAAAGCAACATTTAAAGAATCCGAGGACGCGATGCAAAGAAGTCCGCGCCCTTTTTATGGCTTGAACACATTCTGGGTGATGAGCCCACCTGTCAGTCAGTGAAGCTTCATGATGGCTCCTGTGATGCTGGTGAAGATGAAGCTGATCCTCCAGGAGCGACTGGCGTTCGTTGGCAGTCGTGATTGTTTACCTCTGGATGAGCCATGTGAAGCAGCGTCAAGCTCATACAGATCACGTTTAAAAGACAGTGTGAACAGCCAAACAAAAAAATCGGATTTGGTGAGAAAATCAGATTTGGGCCACTTTTACCTGCTGTGTGAACGTAGCCTTAGTTTTGTACGTCACAAATGAATTTGAACCTATCACAGACCAATGTACTAACATATGCTAATGAGTGGATGTGCGATGAGAGCTGCAGGAGGTGGCAAGAGGCCAGCACCGGAGCCACAAGCACTGACGAGAGCTGTGAGAAGTGGCCTGAGCCTGCACTGCTGATGCTAAACCAGGGTCAGCTGGCTTTCGTGAAGGATAACATGTGTACTTGATCTGAGAATGAGAGAGAACTTGATGCTTTTCCATCTGTTGCCTCAGCCCTCATGTCCTACAGCAGCAGCAAACGTGTGGTTCAGCAGCCACACTGTTAGACATGAGCACAACAAGCTAGTGTTAGCTTAGCAAGAAGGCCTAAACAGCTTTGCACACACCCGCACAGTCTCATTTTGGCTCAGTGAAGCCTCAGTCATGCAGGTTTAGAGAATAAAGATAACCTGTGTTTTTGTTTGTGAAGCTGTTAGCTTAAGCTAGTCTTAATCAATATCCTTGTTAGCCACCGGGTCTAATGTTAGCTTAGACAGGAGCTAAACCACCACTCACTGATGCTGCACTGAATCAAGTTTAGAGGATAAAACCTCAAATCTGAGCGAGTGAAATTCTTTGACTGGTGCTAACATGACAAAAGTCTGTATATTGCTTTGTTGTTATGGCCATAGAGGTGATATTTGTATAAAATGTATTATCATCCCAGATAGCAAGAGGATAGTGGGCCACTGTTTTGACCACTGGCAGCAAAGCTGGCAGCCCACTGGGTTTTTGCTCAGCATTTTACGGGCGGCCCATGCGGTGATTAAGCAGAGTGTGAGATATAATGACACTTTTTTATCACTCATCGTCTAATTTATTTATTTTTTCCTTCATTTCTTTCTTTTGTTATCCTTAAATTAGTTTAGTAAATACTTTCAACTTAGCACATTGTCAGCAAAAACACTTTCAACAAAATCTTTTTAGATTTATTGTCACACATCCCTCAGGCTCAGAGGCCTCTAGGGACTCCAATTCCCAGAATCCCCACGGGGATCACATGGTCCTCAGTCCTCCTTCTTGCTCCAATCACTGCTCTCTGTCGCCTGAGTATTAACTGGTTACACCTGTTCTGACATAATTAGTTTAGTATAAGGCCCGGGCTTTTAGTCTAGTTCGTTGTGAGGTATTGCTTCTTGTTCAAGAGCCACTGAGCGGGTTTTTATATTGTGATTCTTCCGGTTTTTGACTCTGTTTTGACTTTTATCTTTGCCCATTGGACTTTGATTGCCTTGTTATGTTTGTCTTTTTGTGTCTTTTGACTTTGCTGGATTCGACCATTGCCTGTTTTTTGACCACGGCTTCGGATTACGATTCAAACATTAAAGACTCACTCTCTTTTTTTAACCGTGAGCGTCTGCGTTATTCTGCCTCCTGACATTTATATATTTTTGTCTCAGTTGTTTGTAATATTAGTCTTTTCTTGCTTATTTTCCAAAATGAAAGGCTACATTTAAAATCAGGTTTTTTTTTTTTTGGAGATTGCTAGATTTTGCATGCAGGACAATAATCTGGGTGGACCGAGGGTGGAGTAGTGACATTCAATGGGATGCCAACCATACCAAGCCAGTGGACCAAAATACTCTTGCTATCTGGAATATTGAAGAGTTCACATTATTCAGTTGAAAACACAGGCTTTCTCGGTACAACCGGAAGAAGTGATCATGATCCAGCATACAAAAAGATGCTGATGACAGCGTGTGCCAGGTGCCAGTAAGAGCTGCAAGAGACCGTGTGAAGCCAGTGCAGACAAAGGTTGTGGGAAGTTGCATGAACAGCTTTACACACAACCACACAGTTTCATTCTGGCTCACTGAAGCATCACTGACGCAAGCTGAGAGAATAAACGCTCAAATCTGAGCAAATAAACCAGTTGTAACGAGGCAGAATAACTCAGACGCTCGCGGTTTAAAAAAGGAGAGTGAGGCTTTAATGTTTGAGTCGTAATCCAAAAACATGGTCAGAGAACAGGCAAAGGTCGAATCCAACAAAGATAAGAGACACAAAAAGACAAACATAACAAGGCAAACAAAGTCCAAAGGGCAAAGGCAAAAAACAGCAAAAGTCAAAACAACAAAACAGAGTCTGAACCGGAAAAATCACAATAATCAGAATAATAACGCTCAGTAGCTCTTGGAACAAGTAGCAATACCTCGCACTGAACTAGAAATGGTGGTAGTAAGGTGGTGTTTACAATTTGCAGAATCATGGATTTTCATAAGTCTTCACACCCTTAATGACTGTTGTGTTTTAATTTATGTCTTTAGGGGTATTTAAAATTCATAAGTAAGTGTTTGTGTACTAAGCCCCACAGAAGCTGCATTGATTACAGATTACCTTGCCTTACTTGCTACCTTAGCTTTCTCATATTAATATTTACATCATACATTTTGCGTTTTCCATTGGTCAGGCACGTGAGGACTATGATGATGCGATAAGTTCGGGGCAACGGGCATTTCTATTGGAGGAGAGCGATGCAAGCCCAGATATTTTCCGGCTGGCTGTGGGGAACCTGCCTCCTAAAGAAAGTGCTGCTGTGACTCTCATCTACGTCATTGAGCTGGCTGTGCAGGCGGATGATGGTCTGCGCTTCTGTCTGCCAGCAGTGCTCAACCCACGATATGCACCCAGCAACTTCGGCAAACTGATAATACTTATGACCAGTTTTCTGTGTGTTTCAATGGAAGTGACCACTCTGATCTTTTTGTTTCCAGTCCTCTTTGCTTTGTCCTGTTTAATGTGGTTGTTTTCATTCATCTCTCTCTCTCTCTCTCAGATGCAAGTAATGTGCCCGAGGTGGCATCTGTTCCTGCAAGTAAGGTGTCTTATACTCTGTCCCTTAGTGTCCACATCATCTCTCCCATCCCCATTTCTAAAGTAGAGTCCAGCTGCTCTCTGGAACCACTGATCTACCTCAACACAGCTCAGACTCAGGCAAAGGTGAGTGTGCACTGAAAAAAAGGAAGGAAAAACACCCATCTGGGTTAGCAGATGATTCAGAGCGTTAAGACACTCCAATTTTCTGGATGCAGGTAAGTCTCTCTCCAGGACACAAGTTCGACAGGGATGTGGAGATATTGCTTTATTACCAGGATGCCCATCAGCCCACTGCCATAGTGGAGGCAGGACTTCCGAACGCCAAACCAGGTAGGAGTTTTTAGCTCATCCTTTTAGTTGATGTAAGTGCAGATATATTGTTACGACCCAGTCTAGGGTCAGGCTGTAACAGAGAGTGAGAGTGGGCTCTCTCCCCAGACCAGCTGCCAGAACAGACACCGGACACCATTTAAACCAGAAAATGACAGGTTTTTCTTCTTCAAAGCTCAGACAAGTTGAGGTGATGGCTTCAGGGACGAGCACTCACCAAAATAACAAACAAAACAACTAATGATTTCACTCTTAACTCAACTGAAATCAAAAGAAACAAAAGACATATAGGCTACCCTAACTCCCTACCTTAACCAGGAGAAAAGGTAACCAAAACAACATGGCACCTGTCCCCTACTTTCCCCAAGGTGTTCTTCCAGGTCGAGTCAAAGGGGAAAGAGCCCTGAACGTCTGTCAAGACGGTGGCTCAGCGACCTCTTATACCTTTGTGCGCCCCCATCTGGCCAATCATGTACCTGCACATAAGGGTACACAACAGGGAAAACACAAAATGCCAGCAGAAGGCACATAAAAGGTATATTACGACCAGGGGTCGTAACAATATATATATATATATGTATATATATATATATATATATATATATATATATATATATATATATATATATATATATATAGGCCCATATCCTACAGTTTTTGCCATTCTATGTCCAAAAAAATACATTTTTACATAACCATTTTCCAATCTCTCTTCATCCCTTAGCATTTTTTTCTTACTGTGCCTTTAAGACTGATATATGTAAATAAGCTTTGTTCTGATGGGCTGACTTGTGTTGTGCCTCATGCAAAAAGCAGTTTAGTCTGAACTAACTTCAGCATGCAAGCTACCTTTGGCAAGCTAAACTGCCACAGGCTGAATAAGCACATCTATGTAAATGTGTTGGTTTTTGTGTCATCACAGGCTGTTTTTGGGGCTTAGCTTCCATATATGAACTGTACGGACTGAGGAGTGAATGGTTTTAAAATGTTAGTGATGTTTATATACATCAAACTCTTTTATTTAAAAAAAAGTGTGGAAAATTCCGTTTTCCGTTATATGGGCCCTTAAAATGTGCACCAATGCGATCAGGAAACATTGTACTAACCAAAATCGTATCATTTTAGTATGTTTCATTGAGTGAAAACAGCTTTGTCACCTTCGCTCCTGGCTGCATGTACATGAATGTCAGCAGACAGTTTTGGACCTGGTGTAAAATAATCGCTTTTTAGTTATCTCAGTTTGTTTACACTGAAAATGTTGACGCAGTATATTAGCACCAGTGAGGTATCTGGCAGTATTCTAAAGTTTTCTGCCGCACTGCGAGGCTACAAGGCATGTCGGCTGATGATGGAGTAACGTGCACACACGTGCACACACACGCACACACACACACACACACACACACACACACACAGAGTCTTTCTGTAGGTAGGTACACTGATATACAGGTTGATTTTAACAATAGACTTCCTGAAGTTGCCTTTGTCGTGACAGTGTAAGGAAAGCAGGAACAATGGGGATGCTAATATGCTAGCCTGCTAACCAGCGCTTTGCCTCATCTACATCTTAAAAAAGCAAAAAACATGTATTATATTCTATACTATACAACAGTTAGTTCCGACCACGCAAGCTGATTGGTTGAGAGGCGTTCTAACTGTGCTGTTATTTCACCATAACATCACAGGTTTTTCACAAACGCTGTATCACTCCGCTGAGATGCCGTTGCTAAGCAATGACATTGACAGCTGTAGGAGACGCTCAAGTCATTTGAACGTTTTTACTACCTACTTTGCCACAAACAGAAAATGGACACTTTTAAGATCACATTTGACCGACAGCCGATTTGGTCAGACTCTGAAGATGAGACGACACTAAATTCCCAAACTGTCATCACCACTGAGCAGCTTTTCAGTCGGCAGCTGTGACAGAAGAACAGCTAAACAACCTGGAATCAGCCAGAAATGAACCCAGTACCATTCGCCAAACAAGTAGTCTGACCAAATCAGACTGAGCCATAAAAACCAAAAAAGCTGCTCAGTGCTGATGACAGTTTGCGGAATTTAGTGTAAGGAGCTGGAGAATGAACTGCTAGCTGTGCAGTGAGTGGGCGGAGCTCGTTACTCTGACGTAGAAACAAGCTGCTTGTTAAGGAACTATAATTCGGTGAAGTAACTGTGAATATTAAAACATATTAAACGCCGCGTTCACGGCCCAGTTTATTAATTTATTACTTTATTTATTTACCTGTGGTATAAAAGCAATAGAACACTCAAGAAGTGTGTTATCGCCAATAACATCACAGCTGTGATGATCTACGGTGACCAAATCAATTAAATATGTCCTGCCCACAGTTATTTCCTGCCCAAGTATCCTGTTTCACTGGGAAATACTTCATACTAAAGAAGAAAAAAATATTATAATTTAGTCTATAATTAGTCTTTTTGAACTTTAATTTCTAACTCTGCATAATTCACAAATTAACTTCATAATGTTTTACAAATCATATAGTAGTTATGAAATAATAAAGCTTAAAATTGATATCTACAGATTTAGCCTAGATTTTAAAGAGTTTAACAAGTGCTTAGTGAAACGACTCCAATTTCCTTTTCTCCTACGTCCATATTTCAGTTCAGCACAAATCTGAACCATTTAACAAGTTTAGTTTTGACTGCAAACCAAAAACCTTTTTCTTTTACACAAAACCAGGTAAGTGAAAGCACTAGTTTGATCTGATACAGGTTTTACCCCATTATCCACACACCATACCTCCATTCAAGAAGCTCCAAGATGCCAGTGCTTATAGAGGAGAGGAGGGAGAATGAGCAGACAGAGAGGCAATATAGGGACACAACTGTACATACTCTATTAATCTCCTAATGGACTGCCTTCAAAAACATTCTCTTTTCCAGGTTCTCTGATGGGCGACTCGGTGGCCATGCTTAGTCTGTACCCAGAGTTCCCTCCAGAGGTGGCATCTTCGTTTGGGAAACGTGGAGAGTTCATTTTTGTAATGGATCAGTCTGGTAGCATGAGCGGGTCTTCCATCAGGAGCGCCCGGGTAAAGCTTTCCATTACTTTAAAACCATGCATTAAACATGAAAAACATAAAACATAAAATTTTTTAACATAAAAAAAAAAAATTAAAGGGTCATTCTTGAGAAATCGCCAATCTAGAGAAACCTCAGAGTCTCAAATGGAATGGAAAACTGGAAAATTATAGATGATTCAGTCATTGAGATGTAAACAAAGTTATTCAGCGTAGTTTGATGTGAAATAGTGCATTCTAGAGAAATTTACCAACTCAGTTTTCTGTACTTTTTTGCAATGTTGATTAGTTAAGTAGTAAATATTTTTATAAATAGTTAAATAGTTAGTAAATAGTTAATAAATTGTTAATAAGTTATAAATAGTTACATGTAAAAAATGACACAGCAGCACTGCTGTGTCTGATCCACTCATACCAGCACAACACACACTAACACACCACCACCACGTCTCTCTTAGAAACATATGTCTTATTGATCCATCTTGTAGATGTAGAGTCAGAGACGATAGCTCATCTGCTGCTGCACAGTTTGTGTTGGTCATCCTCTAGTCCTTCATCAGTGGCCACTGGACGCTGTTGGCTGGATATTTTTGGTTGGTGGACTATTCTCAGTCCAGCAGTGACACTGAGGTGTTTAAAAACTCCAGCAGCACTGCTGTGTCTGATCCACTCACACCAGCACAACACACACTAACACACCACCACCACGTCAGTGTTACTGCAGTGCTGAGAATGATCCACCACCCAAATAGTATCTGCTCTGTGAGGGTCCATGGGGGTCCTGACCACTGAAGAACAGGGTAAAAGGGGGCTAACAAAGTATGCAGAGAAACAGATGGACTACAGTCTGTAACTGTAGAACTACAAAGTGCACCTATATAGTAAGTGGAGCTGATAAAATGGACAATAAGCATAGAAACAAGTAATGTTATGCCTGATCGGTGTACATTAGGTAGATATATCTAATATAGTGGCCAGTCAGTATAGATATGTGTAGGTAAGTGAGATTAGTGATCGACTGCTGGAAACCCACTCTTCTTAAGTGCCTATTTTCTTCCCTTGAGATGCTGAAGTTGCTGTTATTGACCTCTTTGTTTCTTAACAGGAAACTCTTCTCCTGCTGCTGAAGAGTCTTCCACTGGGCTGCTACTTCAACATCTACGGCTTTGGCTCTGACTTCCGGTCCTTTTTCCTGTGAGTTCCCTGTGATCACATAGGTCATCATGATCATGAACAGGGCATTAACAAATTTATTTTGATAACTGACGAGGCTTGACCACACTGATTCATTAGTTCATTCAATTCTTTGTTTTCATTCCAGTAAGAGTGTGGAATACACTCAGAAGACGATGGAGGAGGCGATGAAGAAAGTGGAGGCTATGGAGGCGGACATGGGTGGTACCGAGATTCTGAAACCACTGCAGCACATCTATGGTCAAGATTGCCTTCCAGATGATCCCAGACAGGTACGGTGCTCCTCATTCCAAGAAGAACACAGAAATGCATGATCTGAGCTTAAATAAATGGGTCATTATACAGAAACGTCCATTTTTGTGTCCCCAGTGTTTACAGATATATTACACTGAAAAAATGTTAGGGTTGCAATTTATTTACATTTTTAAAATAAAACAATGTTACTTTAACAATTACATCTTCTTCAGTCATCAATTTAGCAATATTGGTTTTTAAATCAATTATCTAGAATTCCAAGCACCACAGAAGAGCTCATCCCCACAGTCATGTGTAAAGGCTGAGGCCATATTTTGAGAAAAAAAAACAAAACATATTTTTCTGCAATTTTAACTACAATAATCTATACACGACTATGGAATGTATAAATCAAATGACATAAAGAAAACAAATGGCAAATAAATATTATAAAATATATAATGAAAGTTGTGGTCCCCAGGAGTCGTGTCACTGGTGTTACTGTGTAACAAAAAATCTCTTATTTTGAAATAAAAGTCACACTGATGACATCACTCAACTTCCTTTTACCTGTTTTCTGAGGATCTATGAAGAAAAGCACATGGTGAGTCCACTGTGTCTTTCAGCTTTCAGAGATTTTCCCATTTAGCTCATGATTTCATATGAAGCTTTTAGCTGAAGTCACTGGTGTGACCGACTTTATTCTGAGGTAACTGTGAAAAAATAGAATACAAATAGATTAAATTCCATATTTTAGTAGATATTCCATGATTGACAACATGTGGTTTGATGCTCTGTAGCAGCCATTTTGTAAAATGCATTGTTCATTAAAAATGTCTCTGGTGTTATTTTTCCTAGGTGTAACACCAATGAGGATCAGTAACACCAGTGACACCTATGGACAGATAGAAAAGCAGGCATTTCTGTAGAATGACCCGAATTTTACGTCTTGATCTCCAAAAGAGGAGGAGGGTTGGAGGTTTTTTTTGTGCTCACCATATAAAGTTTTCATTCTCTCTTACAAGGTGTTTGTTTTCACTGATGGAGGAGTCTGCAACACCAAAGACATCCTGGACCTGGTCAGAACTCACTCTAGATCCCACAGGTCAGTTTATTCACTCATGCACACATGACACCACAGTCTGTTGTTTTGTGGAGATAGTCATGTTGGTTCATTTTTTTTTAGGTGCTTCACCTTCGGCATTGGTCAGGGAGCCAGCACTGCACTGATCACTGGAATGGCCAGAGAAGGACGTGGCTTTGCCCAGTTCATCACAAGCAATGACCGACTGCAGCTCAAAGTAAGACTGGGCGTGGCTCTGTGTGCTTACACTGTTAGTAGAATATAAACAAAGACAAGCGCAGAGTGAAGATCATCTGTCCTTCTTTCTCTATAATTCTGATCCGTCTCCTCTTTTCTGCAGGTGATGCAGTCCCTCAGCCTCGCCCTGCAGCCCTCTGTTGTTGACATCTCTGTGAAATGGACCCTTCCAGAGGGCGTGTCCGTCACTGCTTTGTCTCCTCCCCTCAATGTTCTCTTTCAGGGTCAGAGGGCACTGCTGTACGCCCAGCTCACAGGAGAGGTGAGAAAGCTCTGCCTATTAATATCACTACAAAGCGATCAGCCACTTCATTTTGACCACCTCCTTGTTTCTACACTCATTGTCCATTTTATCAGCTCCACTTACTATATAGGTGCACTTTGTAGTTCTGCAGTTACAGACTGTAGTCCATCTGTTTCTCTGCATACTTTGTTAGCCCCCTTTTACCCTGTTTTTCTATGGTTTGGACCCCAGCAGGACCACCACAGAGCAGGTCTTATTTGGGTGGTGGGTCATCCTCAGCACTGCAGTGACACTAATGTGGAAGTGTGTGTTGTGCTGGTATGAGTGGATCGGACACATAACACAAATAATACCTGCTCCCTGGTGGTCCTGTGGCACCTGTGCTGGACCAACAAACTAAAGCACCTACAGTTTGCCAGACATTACTGTAACTTTCACTGGGACAGTGTTCTTTGGTCAGATAGGACCAAAATAAACTTTTTGACAACAAACGCCAGAGGTGAGTTCGGCGTAGACACAAAGAGAGCCATGCAGAAAAATACCCCATCCCCACTGTGAAGTTATGGTGGTGGATCTGTGATACTGTTGGGCTGTTTTTCTTCCAAAGGCCCTGAACAACTTGTTTGGATAAAGGGAAGTACCAGCAGAAATAAAATCATAACCTGACTGCCTCAGCCAGGCAGCTTAAGCTGGGCTGTGGTTGAAACTTCCAGCAGGATAATGATCCAAAACACGCCTCAAAATCAACACAAAAGTGGTTCACTGACCACAGAATCAAGGTTTTACCATGGCCATCCCAGACCCTGACCTAAACCACTTAGGAAACCTGTGGGATGAGCTGAAGAGGAAAGTCCAGTGTAGACCTCGGAATCTGAAGGATCTGGAGAGGTTCTGTGTGGAGGAGTGGTCTCAGATTTCTTACCATGTGTTCTTCAGTCTTTAAGTATTATAGGAGAAAACTTAGAGCTCTTATTTTTACAAAGGGAGGCTGTACAAAGAAGGGGTGCCAACAACTGTGGCACACACAGATTTTAAAAATAAAAAATATTTAAAGATTTAGTTTTTTTTTCCTTTAATCTTTGCACTTCAAATAAAGGTTGCATTGTTCTTAACATTTTGAATGAAAGTTAAAAAGGATCAGCAATAAAGAATGTTTTTACAGTCTGTTTTGCTCATGTTTACCAAGGGTACCTATAATTGTGGGTGGCATTGTATGTAAATCACAGCAAATAAATTAAAATTGTGCAAAAATTCCATATTTAAGGTTGTTGCCTGTATGGAATGTGTTAACATATTTTCACTTATAAAATCAACAAAACATTTTAAAATGTGGAAAATGGTCAAAATAAAAACTTGTATGAGTCTGTAATTTAAATAGATGTGGAAAATTGATCAGGGGTATACAAACCAAACAAACAATAAAATAAATAATAAATGAATGAATGAATGAATAAATAAATAAATAAATAAATAAATATTGTGTAATAATAAAATAGTTTTTTATTCTGTCTAATTTTCTCAGAGCACTGGGAATGATGAAGGAACTGTGACTGTGCATTATAGTCTTGCAGAGCAACCAGTGACAAACCAGCTTAACTTCTGCCTTAAACCTGCTGAGGACACAGGGTAACACATAAACAAACACACACACACACACACACACACACACACACACACACACACCAAAGGAAATGGACCAAAATGAAAAAAAGTCTGGTTCCACTGACTTACATTAAAAATAAAATAGTTTTTTCTTTCTCCTGTAAAGTTACGATATTGGAGACACAAGGTTTTCTTCCGACAGCAGTGATATATAAGACAAAGCCTTTTTGACCAAAAACTGTCATTTTAATTGCTGATACTTTGTGAAGGCTGGGGATTCACAGGCTGGCCGCTCGATCCTTGATCCAATCTCTGGAAATGGAGGAGAGAGAAAAGAAGAATGAGAACTTAAGAGAAAAGGTGGTGGAGCTCAGCATGCAGGCAGGAGTGAGCAGCTCTTTCACTGCTTTTCTCGCCGTCCACAAGGGGAGTGGACAGCCGGTACAAGGACCACTGGTGAGAAGGACAGTGCCAGTACCAAGGCGACAAGAAGTTGGTAATATAACTCTAGTTTTATTATTTTTTTATTATAAAACTCACATGCTGCACAGCATAAAGAAACAGACAAAATCCACAGGAATGCAGTCACATATTGCATGTAACTACATTTTTCACAGTACAGTACAGGAAATATTGAATGAACATTGATATATATTGAATAAATGTTGATATATAATGAATGGACATTGATATATATTAAATGGATGTTGATAATCTCAATGTTCATTCCATATATATCTAAACAACCAAAACTGAGCTTTGGAGGTGCGAAAAAATATCGCTACAGATTTAGTTGAAAAACTAAGAGAAAGTCTCCCAAAAATCAATGAAATGTAATATAAGCAAAGGATGGACACAAAATACTGAAACATTTCATAATATATTTATTTGGTGAGGCGGCTGTGTAATTTTCTGTTAAATATGTTTATTTCTATACTACTTTATTTCTATACTCAAAAAAATGAATAACTTGTAATTAATGGCTGCGCAGTATGTACAGTTTAGATGATGAAATATAAAGACACAGGCCGATTGACTTGCTACCTATAGGGTACAAATTCAACGTAGCTAATGCTACTTTATTAAACTTCACGCTAGTGTTACCATTTGTGGGTATATGTTCATGTTTGTTTTCTATGTTTTTCTACCCTAAAATTTAGCTGGGTCCACTGGAGTTACATATGGCATTCTTTTAATAACGTTTTTTTTTTTTCTGTACAGGAGGTAGCAACAGACCTCTTAAATTGTAAGTTTACAATTCAGACCTTTACACGTCACAAGATAAATTAGGCCTACATGCAAATCCATTCAATACTAATGACAGTACCATTGAGCAGCCAGTTATAGGGTTTATTTTGTCCATACCTGTCGTGTTGTTTCTCAGTACTCAGTATACAGTGCTCATCAGCCTCCTCCTCTTGTTTCTCCCACTTCTTGAAAATGATCCAGGGGAAGTCTACCTGAGCACTGGTATGGTGCATTACCCCCAAAAGATTGTGCATCACTACCAAGTAAGGATTTTTTAAACAGGAACACAGAGAGGAGTGTCCTCTAAATACAGCTGTATTTGACTGTATGCAAGTTTGATGAATAAAGGCACCAGGGTAGATTCTCTTAAGTATTGTAAGTTCATGTATTAAACTTAGTTAAAGTTATATAAAATATTTTGTGAAAATATAAAATATTTTGTATGTTTTGATCCTCCCAAAATGTGCAGGTGATCGGGACTGCGGTAGCAGTTCAGTTAAATCTGATACTATATTACTAACTTTTCTCCATCTTTCCAGAAGAGTACATGAAATATATTGTTCTTTGTGGCTATTTTTCCTAATACCCTTTCCTTATTTGTGCAGGAGTTGAATACCAAACTCTTGGAGGGTAAGTTTAAAATGCATACGTTTGTATACATTGTACAGAGCATTACATTTATTTCAGTCCAACACTGAAAACATCCAAACAAATCAAAATAAAACAGCCTATAAAGTACACTGTAAAAATAGAAAAAAATCTGTTAAATTACAGTACATATTCTGTGTCAATACAGGACAATTTCTTCACCTCATATTCAGAACTTTCCATACTTTCACTGTTTTATTCGAAAACAATTGACTGCCTACTGAGAGACCAGTTAGCAACTGCTAAGCTTAAAGTCACAATGTAACACGGCAGACTGACGCAGACGCTCACGGGTAAAAGTAGAATGAGAGCCTTGACTGATGAAAACGCCATCCAAAATCAAAGTGAACATGATCAGTACTCTGGAGAGTTAGAGCACTGATTGGAGCGCGAGAGTGAGGTAGGAATCACGTGATCCCCCAGGGGGTACTGGGAGATGGAGTCCAAAGAGACCTCAGAGCCGAAAGGAGTCGTGACACACAAGGTGTTTACTTTTATAACAGCAAGACATGCTATACTGGTAAATTTGAACATAAAACACCATCATGGTGAAGAAAATAAAAACATGTTAAATGTATTCAAACCTACACTTTAACATGGAGATAATATGTTGCAACAGAAAAACGTTTTCTGTGAAGAGATCTGATAAGAAAATGAGAAGTTATTACATCAAAGAACCTCAAAGAATTCTGGGTAACCATGCCCTCAGTGCTAAAATAAAAGCCGATTACATGAAATGCAATCTCTATCATTACAAATGAAAAAAAAAAACAGATTCATTACAGTTAAATGTTTATTTATTTTCTCATTTTGCCCCTGCATATATATATATATATATATAAATTTGCTGATGTATCTTGCTGTTTGTCACACACCTGAATTGCTTTCATGTATAGTTTATGGGCAAAACAAACACTTCTGAAGCCTCCCTCTGCTTCTCTTTTTGAAAATTTCCCAGGGCAAGAGGAGTTCGAGATCAATATGAACCAGTAGGATCATTATCATGGGGTAAGATACAAATTTTTTTTTCAGCAACCCACAGAGAGTGTCCTTTAATTAGAACCTCATTTCCAAAAAAAGTTAGGTTGCTGTGCAAATTGAAAATAAAAACAGAATGCAATGATGGGCAAATCAATTAAACTTTATATTTACTTGAAAATAGTACAATGACAACATATCAAATGTTGAAACTGAGAAATGTCCCATTTTGAGTTTGATACAATTCCAGTTCCTTTACCAGTTGTAAAAGACTGATAAAGCTGTGCAATGCTAAAAAAACACACCTGGCGGAAGTATTCCACAACTAATTAGGTTAATTAGCAACAGGACAGTGATATAGTAAAGATGAGGGAAGAGTCTGTCACTCTGAAAGACTGTGCAGACAAATAGTGCAACAATTCAAGAACATGTTTCTCGATGTAAAATAGCACTGCATGGGCTCAGAAACACTTCCGAAAAACCTCTGTCTGTGAAAACAGTTCATCGCTGCATCCACAAATAAGTTAAAGCTCTACAATGCAAAGATGAGACCATATATAAACAGGATCCAGAAACGCCACCGCCTTCTCTGGGCCCAAGTTCATTTAAGATGGAATGAGGCGAAGTGGAAAAGTGTCCTGTGATCCCCCCCCCAACCCCCCGCCCCCATCCCCCGCCCCCATCCCCCATCCCCCAATAAGTTATTTCTCTTTTAATTTGTGCAGGAGTTGAATACCAATCTCTTCGAGGGTAAGTTTAAAATGCATACTTTTGTATACATTGTATAGAGCATTACATTTATTTCAGTCCAACACTGAAAACATCCAAACAAATCAAAATAAAACAGCCTATAAAGTACCCTGTAAAAAATGCGTAAAAAATGAAAGATATATTGAAGAAAATGCTGGTACATTTTCCATAAAATGATCAATCCCGTCACTCCTTTAACAGAAAAAATCTGTTAAATTACAGTACATATTCTGTGTCAATACAGGACAATTTCTTCACCTCATATACAGAACTTTTCATACTTTCACTGTTTTATTCGAAAACAATTGTGTGTTTCCTTCAACTCAAAAGAGAAAAGTCTTCTGTATCCTCCACTAAAACACAGCCAGTACATCGGCTGGCTTCACAGATTTAGCGGTGTCAACAAAAATATCATTGATAATGCACAGATTCACAGTGATTTTTCGGTCTGTGGCCTCACCAGAATTCAAATGTGATAAACTGCTAATAGAAGTAAACCTAACAAGGCTGCCTACTAAGAGACCAGTTAGCAGCTAATAAGCTTAAAGTCACCAGCTATTCACGTTTATAACAGTAAGACAAGCTGTACTGGTGAAACAAAAAAACATGTTAAATGGATTCAAAGCTACACTTTAGCATGGAGATGACATGTTGTCGGTTTCTACCTGCCTCAGCGCTATCTGTTTTAGGTGTGTTTGTGGTTGTGTGCCTTATCAAGCAGCTCCCTACAGTATCAGCAACTCAATTTTAATATGACTGTGAAGCTTTGCACCACGACCCAGAAGGATAAGCAGTTTAGATGATGCATGTATGTATAGCTTTGCTCACTATACAATCTGCTCACCTATAAGACTGGTGGAGATTTTTATCCACAGTTTTCCCCACTGACTTTAGCTACTCTTGTGCACAAAACCTCTCCTGGTGCCTGTTTACCCTGGACTATCATCAGTACAGCTCAACTACTCTGTGATCCAGAGAACGCCAGCTTGCAGGAGAAAAGCCGTCGAATACCAAAACCTGCGGACTCTAGAACACGTAAAAGCATCGCGTAAATCTGTCTCAACTGTGAGAATGGCCTTGGCTAATGTTAGGTCAGTATCAAATAAGTCCATAACTTTAAATGACTTTTTTTACATCTCAAGAGCTGGACTTTTTATTTTTAGTTGAAACGTGGCTGCAAGCTGATGATCTGAGTCTGTTCTCAGATCTGTGGACCACCAGACGAGGTGGAGGGGTTGCAGTCTTTTATCCACTAAAATATGTAATTTAATCCATTTGTATTCTATTTTTTCACAACTCCTTCTCATTTTAGAAAATTGCGTAGAGTTCAGTACAACACTGAAAAAATCCAACCGAATCAAAGTAACACTATAAAGTACACTGTTTAAAAAAATGGAAAATATACAGAAGAAAATACCGTACATTTTCTGTAAAATTAACTGAAAATTCCATAACTTCTTTAATGGAACATTCTGTTAAATTACAGTACATATTCTGTGTATATACAGGACAATTCCTTCACTTCATATACAAAACATTCCATACCATTTTATCCATCAAAAATCATGTATGTTTCCTTTACTAGAATGCAACTAATACATTGACTGACTGATAATATCAGCCATTATTGACAACCCACAGATTTTGTGGTATCAACAAAAATATAGTGATTTTTTGGGCTGTGGCCTCAACAGGATTCAAACATGTGATACTTTGCCAATAGAGGAAAACCTTACAAGACTGCCTACTGAGAGACCAGTTAGCAACTGCTAAGCTTAAAGTCACAATGTAACACGGCAGACTGACGCAGACGCTCACGGGTAAAAGTAGAATGAGAGGCTTGACTGATGAAAACGCCATCCAAAGTCGAAGTGAACATGATCAGTACTCTGGAGAGTTAGAGCACTGATTGGAGCGTGAGAGTGAAGTAGGAGTCACGTGATCCCCCAGGGGGTACTGGGAGATGGAGTCCAAAGAGACCTCAGAGCCGAAAGGAGTCGTGACACACAAGGCGTTTACTTTTATAACAGCAAGACATGCTATACTGGTAAATTTGAACATAAAACACCATCATGGTGAAGAAAATAAAAACATGTTAAATGTATTCAAACCTACACTTTAACATGGAGATAATATGTTGCAACAGAAAAACATTTTCTGTGAAGAGATCTGATAAGAAAATGAGAAGTAATTACCTCAAAGTACCTCAAAGAATTCTGGGTAACCATGCCCTCAGTGCTAAAATAAAAGCCGATTACACGAAATGCAATCTCTATCATTACAAATGAAAAAAAAACAGATTCATTACAGTTAAATGTTTATTTATTTTCTCATTTTGCCCCTGCATATATATATATATATATATAAATTTGCTGATGTATCTTGCTGTTTGTCACACACCTGAATTGCTTTCATGTATAGTTTATGGACAAAACAAACACTTCTGAAGCCTCCCTCTGCTTCTCTTTTTGAAAATTTCCCAGGGCAAGAGGAGTTCGAGATCAATATGAATCAATAGGATCAGTATCACGGGGTAAGATACAAATTTTTTTTTTCAGCAACCCACAGAGAGTGTCCTTTAATTAGAACCTTAAAAACAGAATGCAATGATGGGCAAATCAATTCAACTTTATATTTACTTGAAAATAGTACAATGACAACATATCAAATGTTGAAACTGAGAAATGTCCCATTTTGAGTTTGATACAATTCCAGTTCCTTTACCAGTTGTAAAAGACTGATAAAGCTGTGCAATGCTAAAAAAAACACACCTGGCAGAAGTATTCCACAACTAATTAGGTTAATTAGCAACAGGACAGTGATATAGTAAAGATGAGGAAGAGTCTGTCACTCTGAAGGACTGTGCAGATAAATAGTGCAACAATTCAAGAACAATTCAAGAACCCCCCCCATAAGTTATTTAAGTTATTTCTCTTTTTATTTGTGCAGGAGTTGAATACCAAACTCTTGGAGGGTAAGTTTAAAATGCATACTTTTGTATACATTGTATAGAGCATTATATTTGTTTCAGTCCAACACTGAAAACATCCAAACAAATCAAAATAAAACAGCCTATAAACTACACTGTAAAAAATGCGTAAAAAATGAAAGATATATTGAAGAAAATGCTGGTACATTTTCTATAAAATTATCAATCCTGTCACTCCTTTAACAGAAAAAATCTGTTAAATTACAGTACATATTCTGTGTCAATACAGGACAATTTCTTCACCTCATATTCAGAACTTTCCATACTTTCACTGTTTTATTCGAAAACAATTGTGTGTTTCCTTCAACTCAAAAGAGAAAAGTCTTCTGTATCCTCCACTAAAACACAGCCAGTACATCGGCTGGCTTCACAGATTTAGCGGTGTCAACAAAAATATCATTGATAATGCACAGATTCATAGTGATTTTTCGGTCTGTGGCCTCACCAGAATTCAAATGTGATAAACTGCTAATAGAAGTAAACCTAACAAGGCTGCCTACTAAGAGACCAGTTAGCAGCTAATAAGCTTAAAGTCACCAGCTATTCACTTTTATAACAGTAAGACAAGCTGTACTGGTGAAACAAAAAAACATGTTAAATGGATTCAAAATCGAAGTGAACATGATCAGTACTCTGGAGAGTTAGAGCACTGATTGGAGCGCGAGAGTGAGGCAGGAGTCACATGATCCCCCAGGGGGTACTGGGAGATGGAGTCCAAAGAGACCTCAGAGCCGAAAGGAGTCGTGACACACAAGGTGTTTACTTTTATAACAGCAAGACATGCTATACTGGTAAATTGGAACATAAAACACCATCATGGTGAAGAAAATAAAAACATGTTAAATGTATTCAAACCTACACTTTAACATGGAGATAATATGTTGCAACAGAAAAACATTTTCTGTGAAGAGATCTGATAAGAAAATGAGAAGTAATTACCTCAAAGTACCTCAAAGAATTCTGGGTAACCATGCCCTCAGTGCTAAAATAAAAGCCGATTACATGAAATGCTATCATTACAATCTCTATCAAGTATCTCTATAAGTAATCTCTATCATTACAAATGAAAAAAAATTACTATAATTATACTATAATTCATTACAGTTAAATGTTTATTTATTTTCTCATTTTGCCCCTGCATATATATATATATGTATATATATATATATATATATATATATATATATATATATATATAAATTTGCCAATGTATCTTGCTGTTTGTCACACACCTGAATTGCTTTCATATATAGTTTATGGACAAAACAAACACTTCTGAAGCCTCCCTCTGCTTCTCTTTTTGAAAATTTCCCAGGGCAAGAGGAGTTCGAGATCAATATGAACCAAAAGGATCAGTATCGCGGGGTAAGATACAATTTTTTTTTCAGCAACCCACAGAGAGTGTCCTTTAATTAGAACCTCATTTCCAAAAAAAGTTAGGTTGCTGTGCAAATTGAAAATAAAAACAGAATGCAATGATGGGCAAATCAATTCAACTTTATATTTACTTGAAAATAGTACAATGACAACATATCAAATGTTGAAACTGAGAAATGTCCCATTTTGAGTTTGATACAATTCCAGTTCCTTTACCAGTTGTAAAAGACTGATAAAGCTGTGCAATGCTAAAAAAACACACCTGGCAGAAGTATTCCACAACTAATTAGGTTAATTAGCAACAGGACAGTGATATAGTAAAGATGGGGAAGAGTCTGTCACTCTGAAAGACTGTGCAGACAAATAGTGCAACAATTCAAGAACATGTTTCTCAATGTAAAATAGCACTGCATGGTCTCAGAAACACTTCCGAAAACCACTGTCTGTGAAAACAGTTCATCGCTGCATCCACAAATAAGTTAAAGCTCTACAACGCAAACATGAAACCATATATAAACAGGATCCAGAAACGCCACCGCCTTCTCTGGGCCCAAGTTCATTTAAGATGGAATGAGGCGAAGTGGAAAAGTGTCCTGTGATCTGACAAATCAAAATTTGAAATTCCTTTGGAAATCATGGATGCCAAGGAGAGGGACCATCCAGCTTGTTATCAGTGCACAGTTCAAAAGTCAGTATTCATGATGGTATAGGGGGGCATTAGTGCACATGGCATGGGTGACGTGCACATCTGTGAAGGCACCATTAATGCTGAATGATATTTACATGTTTTGGCAACATATGCTGCCATCCAGATGACGTCTTTTTCAGGGAAGGCCTCGATTATTTCAGCAAGACAATGTCAAACCACATTCTCCATGTATTACAGCAGCATTGCTCCGTATTAAAAGAGTGCTAAACTGACCTGCCTGCAGTCCAGACCTGTCACCACTGAAAACATTTGGCGCATTATGATTTGAAAAATACGACAAAGGAGACCCCAAACTGATGAGCAGCTGAAATTCTGTATCAAGAAAAATTGTGAAACTTTCATTACCAACCTACAGCAGTGTCTCCTCAGTTCCGAAATGCTTACAGAGTGTTGTTAAAAGAAGAGGTGATGCCACACAGTGGTAAACATGCCTCTGAAATGTGCTGCGAGCATCAAATTCAAAGTGGGTATTTATTTTTCAAAAGACAAAATTTCTTAGTTTCAACATTTTATATGTTGTCTTTGAACAAAAACAGAGACTTCACAAACAGGGAAGCCAAAGTGAGGATATAAATGGGAGAATACATCAGTCCTAGGAATGAGTTACAAGTGTGCAGAGTGCTGGAATGAGCTATTCCAAATTGGGCAAAGGGGGAAGACATTGTGACACTCATTTTACACTCAGTATGCAACTTTAATGAATGAGTCAGTATGATTATGGACTCCTGTGCTGTGCAATTCATTCAGGTTTTTTTCCGGAAGCTGATTGTGCTCATTAATTTATAGGCCACTGGTCAAAAAAGTTTAGTGGCTACTAACTGGCTACTTCTTTTGGCTAATCAGGGAATGTTTATGATACAACAGCAGGTCACATGATGGCTGTAAGTCATACATGCGCGTCACCACTATAAGATGTATTTTTTTTTCCAAAGGTACATTCACAGAAACACTAGCTCACTGCTAAAAAACCTGAATGCTTGACCGAAGTAATGGAGGATATTTGGATGGTTGCTAAGCAGTGATTAGAGAGGGAAATAAAACAGGCGTTCAGGAAAGCATGGAGAGCGTCCAGATTTTCATCGGCCATAGCAACAATCGGATGTGACAAATTTGAGATTAGTTCTTTTTAGTTTTTTGTGCTGATAGTAAAGTTCCCACTGTGAAAACAGCTGTTAGATTTTCTCAGAATTGCCAGCTGGGGCCCCCTAGTGAATCAAGCCCCACCAAACCCTTGGGACAATCCAAGCTTGCTCTTCTGTCTCTGTAGTAAAACAAAGTATTCATGTGTAAATCATTGCTACCACATCAAAACTCTTAATGAGGAATTCCACTGATTTTTTTTTTTTATTTCTGGCTAATTCAGTTGTTAAGATGTAAAGACGGGCATGCAGGGTGGTTTGGTACAAAAAGCCTTATTGTAGACAAATTTACCGATTTGGATTTCTTTACAGTGGTGGTGTTAGAAATGAGGGGTTGCGTATGTCGCTTTGACATGATGATATTATGTTCAGAACCAATCTAAACCTGCTGTCATGGAAAGGCAATGGCAGCTTGTGCTGAGCTTTTCCATAGAAAAATGTTCAGTATAGGAGAGAACAATGTTGAACTGAATGAAACTGAATACTTTTTGATACTATCTGTTTATTCTTTAATATTTCCTTGCAAAAAACAAATATGCAGCTTTTTTAACAAGAGTTTCTGGCTAAACGAAACAACAGCAGCATAATGAATGTTTTAGCAGCATCTCACTGAGCTGGAGCTGAGGATGTTAGCTTCATGTTTGGAGCTAAACCAGGGTGATGTAAGTAAAATCACAGCATATAGCATTTAGCATTTTAGCTTTATTAACCAAAAAAGTCATATTTTTGTTTTTTGGGGCTTTCTATGTAGTTTCCATTGGTTTCCCTATCACTTACACCTGCTCAGGGGGAGGTGTAAACACTATAACTACTAAGCTCAGTATTAAAACTAGTTTGTGTGGTGTGACCCCTTTTTGATTAAGTAATGCATAAACCTGAACTAAATAAACACTAACTTTACAACTACAGGTGGTGTAATATGACTGATTTTTACACAGTACTGCATATGATTTTGTAATTAATATAAATACTTTTGAACATACTTTTGCATCAGTCCCACCAGCCCAGAAGGACCCCTACTTGGAGCTGCTCTCTCTCCAGAAAGCTGCAGGGTTCTGGAATTTGGAGACTCGACTTCTTGATCTCTTTGGCAAGGCAGAGAAGAATCTGGACAAGCAGATGCCGGCCCAGGTTTGTCATGCTGAGTTATGTTAATGTAGCTTTTATATATTTTGTATTCAGACAGTCTTACTCTAAAATGAATTACATTTTTTATCAATCTCAAAAAAACGGAAAAACGAACAGGTTTCAGTTTTTAAGTTTATTCAAATTTATTAAAAAATTAAAACAAAATATATTTGCACAAGTATTCAGACCCTTTAATCAGTGTTTTCTCTAAGCACCCTCCAAGTATTCTTGAATAATGATAATACACTGGATTTGGGGATCTTCTACTATTTCTTTCTGCAGAACCTCTCAAGCTCTATCAGGTTGAATGGGGATACTGTAGTTCTGTTGTAGTTTTCAGGTCTTTCCTGAAAGCTCTGAGCTCTAGCTGGGCCACTTAATGACAGACCAGAACCACTATTGTGTTGCCTTAGCTGTGTATTTGAGATCATTCATGTGCTGGAAGGTGAACTTTAAAACCAACCTGAGTATTCCTTAGCAGTTTTTTCCTTAGAGTTTTCTCTCTAAGGTACTGTCTGCTGTCATCTGTGATTTTTTCCTCCATTCTGACAAACTTCTCTGTCTCTGTTGCTGAAAAAATGGCCCCTTAACATGATGCTGCCACCACCATGCTTCACTGTAGTAGAAACTTGCTTATAAATTCACCGTAAAAAAATGGTACAAAGACAACATATCAGATGTTGAAACTGAGAAATTTTATTCTTTTTTAGACAAATTTATGTTCATTTTGAATTTGATGCCAACAACACATTCCAAAAAAGTTGGGACGGGGGCAACAAAAGGCTGGTAAAGTTGTGTAATGCTAAAAAAAACACCTGGTGGTTGATTGGCAACAGGTCAGTAACACGATTGGGTATAAAAGAGCATCTCAGAGAGGCTGAGTCTTTCAGAAGTAAAGATGAGGAGGGGTTCACCACTCTGTGAAAGACTGCGTGAGCAAATAGTGCAACAATTCAAGAATAACATGTTCTCAACATAAAATAGCAAAGAACTGTTGCTTTTCATCATCTACAGTACATAATATCATTAAAAGATTCAGAGAATCTGGAGAAATCTCTGTATGTAAGGGACAAGACCAAAAACCAGTATTTGCTGGCCGTGATCTTTGGGCCCTCAGGCGGCACTGCTTTAAAAACAGACATGATTCTGTAGTGGAAATCACTGCATGGGCTCAGAAACACTTCTGAAAACCAGTGTCTATGAACACAGTTTGTCTCTGCATCCACAAATGCAAGTTAAAACTCTAAAACACAAAAAAGAAACCATATTTAAAATGGACCCAGAAATGCTGCCACCATCTCTGGGCCCAAGTTCATTTAAAATGGACTGAGGGGAAGTGGAAAAGTGTCCTGTGGTCCGACGAATCAACATTTGAAATTCTTTATGGAAATCATGGACACTGTGTCCTCCGGACTAAAGACCACTCAGCTTGTTATCAGTGCTCAGTTCAAAAGCCAGTATTCATGATAGTCCAGAGGTGAATTAGTGCACATGGCATGGGTGACGTGCACATCTGTGAAGGCACCATTAATGCTGAATGATATATACATGTTTTGGCAACATGCTGCCATCCAGACAACGTCTTTTTCAGAGAAGGTCTTGCTTATTTGAGCAAGACAATGTCAAACCACATTCTGCACGTATTATATCAGCATTGCTCCATATTAAAAGAGTCCGGGTGTTAAACTGACCTGCCTGCAGTCCAGACCTGTCACCACTGAAAAATGTGGGGCATTATGAAATGAAAAATACAACTAAGGAGACCCCGAACTGTTGAGCAGCTGAAATCCTATATCAAACAAGAATGGGAAAACATTGCACTTCCAAAACTACAGCAGAGTCTCCTCAGTTCCCAAATGCTTACAGTGTTGTTAAAAGATTGGTGATGAAACACAGTGGTAAACAGGCCTCCGTCCCAACTTTTGAAACGTGGTGTTGGCACCAAATTCAAAATGGGCATATATTTAAAAAAAAAACAATATATTTTCTCAGTTTCAACATTCGATATGTTGTATGGTTTACATAACTTGCATATCATTGCATTCTATTTTTATTTACGTTCTGCACAGCGTCCCAACTTTTTTGAAAATGGGGTTGTATTTGCAAAATATGTAGATCCAAGGAGCTACCCGTGCAGGACCTGGGAGAGAAGGAAAGATGATGAGAGAAAGACCAATGATGAACGGGATATGGGATAATTATACAAGCAAATGTTTTAATCATGTGGAATTCTATGTATTTTTTAATGGTTGTGTGCAGGTGGACAGTGCAGTGTGGGCCACTGTTCTGGCTCTGATTTGGCTCCACGGCTTCAGGGCAGATAAACATGAAGAGTGGAAGTTCATTGCCCTGAAGGCCACATCCTGGATCCGTTCTCAGAAAGGTGACACAGAACATCACCAACAAACACAGTGTAGAATATTTCAATCATTATTCCTCTTACATTCAACATAAAACAGCAAACTAAGCAAACCTAAGGATGTTACAGGTATGTGTATTAAACCGGAGAACTCAGTGTAATGGTTGTAATTCGTGTTTTATGATGATGTGTTTCAGTGGGGAATCTGTCCAGGTGTGTCCAGGCTGGAAATGCTTTACTGGGTTGTCAGGTGAAGGAAGAGAGTCTTGGACTTTAAGCTCTTCCTGTAGTCTGACATATGGCTGTCCACCACGCTTACCTCTCCATTCCTGGACTTGTAATCACACAAAGATCCATTCTTGTTGAAACTAGTTGTTTAAAATAAACTTTATGCATGCATTTCACTTATAAGTCATGCACATCTAATTGAGCCAAAGTTTTCTGCTTTTGCTATGTTTGCTATGTCTGTATATGCTGTTCTTGTGCTGTGCAGTCAAAGTATTATTTTGCTGCTGTTGCAGGTCAATAAAGTACATCCATCTACCAAAAATTTGCTGTCTGAGCCAGCCAATATAGGCCAATAATTATAAATTTGTTGTAAATATACTTAAATGTGGAAGTAGCATTACTACACATTTTACAAGCGAAAGTGAAAATGAAACTGAAACCCCACCTCTGTGGGTCATTCAGTAAAATGTCTTGACTTGCTCCTTCTACTAAAAACTGTAGAGCTAAAATCTATAGTGCTGTAGTTGCCTGTCCAGATTATATTACTGCTTGAAAACAGAGGATAATTGACAAATAATATAAAGAGTACCGTAATGCCTCTAGTAGCACAGTAACACAGACTAGTAACACAGATGTGATATCATTCACAGTGGAAATGAGTTGATGGATGGACTCCATTGTCATTCTCAAATTCCTTGAGAATAGATTTGTGTACTTGACCCTTTAGTGTACAGCAGCCACTCTAATTCTCGAACAACTTGTCTTGAACACACCAATTATAGGCCGTTTTCAAATCTAGCATTTCTATCCAAACCATTTGTGGTTGCCCCTCAACTACAAAACTACAACAATCTTTCCAATCTAAAAGTAAGCCTTTATAATGAGGTTTACTATCTTTACCCCCAGGGTCATCAAGTAGTACACATATATATATATATATATATATATATATATATATATATATATATACACACCGATCATAACATTATGACCACCTCCTTGTTTCTACGCTCATTGTCCATTTTATCAGCTCCACTTACTATATAGGTGCACTTTGTAGTTCTACAGTTACAGACTGTAGTCCATCTGTTTCTCTGATACTTTGTTAGCCCCCTTTTACCCTGTTCTTCAGTGGTCAGGACCCCCATGGACCCTCACAGAGCAGGTACTATTTGGGTGGTGGATCATTCTCAGCACTGCAGTAACACTGACGTGGTGGTGGTGTGTTAGTGTGTGTTGCGCTGGTACGAGTGGATCAGACACAGCAGTGCTGCTGGAGTTTTTAAACACTGTGTCCACTCACTGTCCACTCTATTAGACACTCCTACCTTGTCAGTCCACCTTGTAGATGTAAAGTCAGAGACGATAGCTCATCTGCTGCTGCACAGTTTGTGTTGGTCATCCTCTAGTCCTTCATCAGTTGTCACAGTGGTTTTTGGTTGGTGGACTATTCTCAGTCCAGCAGTGACACCAAGGTGTTTAAAAACCCCAGCAGCACTGCTGTGTCTGATGCTCTACAGAATGAACAACCAATCACATGAACAACATGAAAATTCTTTTAGCTTACAGAAATGGCCTTTATAGCTTTTATAGCTTTCAGTCTGATGGCCACAGCTGCCCAGCAAAATACCCAAAATAACCACTCTATGGTTTAATTCCTGTTTTGTTATACTAGATATAAACGGCATTTGGTGAAGTTACTCACAGTGAGCCTGATGACCATGACTGCCATGTTATTTCAGCAGAGAATAATGTATTTGTGAATAAACTATGTGAAATATTGAATGTCAGTTGGCCTTGACAGAACTGTGTGGGCGGGAACGAGCCAAAATGTTTCAGTAGCTAGCAGGAGCAGGACAAATAATTTCAATTTTCTGTAGGAGTCGGCGGGAGCGGGATGAAACCTTGTGGGAGAGGGACTGAACAAACAGTCCTGCGCAGTTCTCTAATGGTCAGCAAGGTTTCTCTGGCTCCAGCACACTCTCTAAAAATGTTTTTCAGTTCTATTCAAATGGTAGGAGTCACTTTACATTAAGGTTCACAAATTTATTAATAGTTATATGCTTGTTACTCATTTACTAATTATTACATACTAATTATTTAGTAATTACTCAATATCTGTATAAGATGCTTTGCATGCACAACAAATGTTATTCCTTAACTGCTTATTAAGCATTAGTAACTGATTAAGTACTTAGTAATTAGTAATTGAGTACACCGTAAACTGTTTTTCTGTTTTTTCTTATGTACTCATTAACTGTGTACTAAATGCTGCTTATCACACTGCTAATGAACTGATAAGTGTGTTTATGCATTTAAAGAAGTAGCATAAGAACAAACAACTACTTATGAGTCAGTCCTGTTCTACTGATCTACTGATTTGTTGTTATTAATTAATTACTAATTTGTCTCCTTCCCAGTAAGGTAATCATTTCTGCTACAGACTCATGATTAAGACTTGATTAGTTACTGATATCTTTATTTTATTTATTTATTCTAAAACATTATTCTTGAATTGTTGGAATGTGTTTTTGGCATCAAATTCAAAATGGGCAAATATTTTAAAAAATAATAAAATTTCTCAGTTTCAACATTTGATTTGTTGTCTTTGTACTATTTTTAATGAAATATGGGATTTAATTGTTTTGCATATCATTGCATTTTGTTATTTATTTACTTTTTGCACAGCGTCCAAATGTTTTTGGAAATGGGGTTGTATTTATTTGTAGACTTTAGCAAATTGAAGAAATATAAAATGCGTCATCAGGTTTGCACCGGCCACATTTTATGTTGTTTTTTGTTATTTCAGTAATGTTAAATTCAGCAAATGAACATTAACTGTGCATTAAAATGTGTGTGTGTGTTATTTTCACTTAGTAAAACATGTAAACTGACCAGGGGCACCCAAACTTTTCCATATGGCTGTTTGTCAGTCTTATAAAGTGGCTAGTTAATTGAAATCCAAGGCAGGGGTTTAAGTAATTTAACCGAAGTGTATTTGAATTAATGTCCACGGTAGAAGTGTTTAACAAATACAGGGGCTTCTTTACCCATATAGGAGGGCACCCTGGCCTGACGGTGGGGCATCAAGCCCCTTTACAAGATTTTCTTTTGTGTGCTATAAAAGCTAAATTGTCTGCTGTTTCAGTTTATTTCTTCTTACTGTACATCAGCTTATGTATCGTCCTCATCCCTTACATGCTTAAACACATGCACAGATATGATTTTGCTTTACAGTAAATGGGTGTTGTTCTTAAGGGTAACGTTTTCTCTCATTCCTCTCATTTTTCTCTCATTTTCTCAGTTTGTAGTACTGCAGTATGAATGTAATATTGCTGCAAACTGCAACACTACTGCAGTTTTTAGCACAAACAACTGAACTTCCCACTGATTTGTATGGTTTCTGGTAGTGAGGGTAGAAGCACCGCCCCCCCTTACATTACAGCAAGGAAAGAAAGCTGCAGTCAGATCAGACTGACACAGCTGCTGGAGAGATGGGGGCTAAATGTTCTCAACTAAGAAGAAAAACCAGAAGAAAAGCAACATCTGTAAGAATAGACACTTTAATACTTTATCACTAATATAAGGTGTTATCTTAATTTGTCAGTGCAAGAGTGTCACTTTGTTTACTTTCTTACATCTTATGAAGTGATTCATGGAGCAGCTTCTTAGAAGAGTATAAACAGACTGAGGCTATTTTATCAGATTAGATAGCCATCAGCCAAAAATTGGCTTATTGTAGGTCTCTGTGGTAAAAGATTTTTTGGTAACACTTTACAATAAGAGTTCATCTGTTAACGGTACTTAAGAGAGTTCTAAGCATTACTAAATGGTGAAGTAATGTAGCACTTAATCATTAACTAAAGAGAGAAGTAGGAACTAACATTAATTTAGATTGTAATAAGTATATATATATATATATATATATATATATATATATATATCATACATACATACATACATACATACAAACACGCATACACACCATGGAGCCTGTCCACAAACGTCATCCTTGCCAAGAAGCCTTAACTTGTATTAGCACATAGAGAGCAAACATAGCAGCCACTGAATTCTACATCTGACCATCTGCCATCTTTATCAACTATTTCAATTCTTAATTAATATTTTAAATCATTTATTAAATGTTATCATGAGATTTTAGTTAATGGCTACATGATGGTTCAATTCTAATGGTTGTCCTAATAGGTTTTTTTTTTGGTAAAATATTAGTTAACACTTTATTTGACATTATTAGACTTCAACAAATTCTTATTTAGTGCTTAATTTGTACTGTCTCAATCATTGAGCTACACTAACACATTAACAAATTACTTACAATCAGCATTCTAGTAATCATTACTATGCTAAGTTATGTAGTACTGTAGTACTGTGATCAACTGAGACGTTACTTAACCATTTAGTAATGATTATAAACCAATGAATAAAATCTAAAAGTTAGTTCTTATTTCTCTCATTAGTTAATGAGTAATTGCAACATTACTTACCATTTAGTAATGCTTATTACTCTCTTAAGTACTGTTGTTATTGTAAAGTGTTACTGTTTTTTTTTTTTAACCCTAGCAGCGTTCCTCTTTTATATGTATCATAATATTGTTGTTGACTATAATAATGTACATCACTAATTACTTATTCGAATCACATATTACGCAGCATCATTACTTTAGGTAGCAAGTTCATGCATGTTAATTGCTGTAAAGCATAATTTGACATTTATCTGCCACATAAAGATCATCAGTGTTGGGTAAAGGTAACTATATCAGAATTCCTTTAGAATTCCTTTTCTAACATGCTGTAACTGATTCCTTACTCAGCAGGCTTCCATATATGCAAACAGCTGTGGCCTAATAACCCAGACAGGCCAGCAAGGTATTTTCTATTTTATTTTTCTGTACAAGACATTGGGTCCTATTATGTTTACAACTCTTATTTGTGATGAATACCTACTTGAACTCGTGACTTTACATGATAACATTCATCCACCGATCTCAGTCATTTTGATGTACGTCCTCTTTCTCAGGCATATGTACGGTCATAGTAAAATAGGTTGCAGGGCTCTTTCCTGTATTGTTTTACTTGTAGGTGGTAGAGATCTGAAACAGGACTGTGTGGTTTGGTACTTTCCACATTCGGTGCTGTGAGAAAGTATGTGCCCCCTCCCCAGTTTCTTCTATTTCTGCTAATTTGTCACATTAAATGTTTCAGATCACAGAACTCATTTTAATACAAGATAAAGAGGACACAAGTACACACAAAATGCAGATTTTAAATGATCATTCCATTTATTGAAGATAAAGACTTATACAAAACCTATAATATCTATGTGAAAAAGTAACTGCCCCCTTAAACCTAATAACTGGTTGTGCCACCTTTGGCAGTAACTGCAATCAGAGAAGTCTTTTACATCACTGTGGAGGAATTTTGTCCCATTTTTCTTTGCAGAATTATTTTAATTCGGCGACACTGTAGGGTTTCCACCTGTTTAAGGTCTTGCCCCAGTATCTCAATGGGATTCAAGTCAGGACTTTAATTTTGTTTCTTTTGAGCCATTCAGAGGTGGACTTGCTTGTGTGCTTTAGTCCATTGACCTGCTCCATAACAACATAGCAACTGTACTTGAGCTTTAGGTCACAAACCGGCAGACAGATGTTCTTCTTTAGGATTTTCTGATAGAGAATTCAGGATAGCAGAATTCATGGTTCCATCAGTTATAACAAGTTGTCCAGGTCCTGCAGAAACAAAGTATCCCCAGACCATTACACTACCACCACCATGTCTCACTGCTGGTATGATGTTTTTAGAATGGGATGCGGTGTTAGCTTTATGCCAAACATAACGGGACCCATGTCTTCCAGAAAGTTCCACCTTTGTGTTTGTTTTGATCAGAAGTGATTTGTGCCTTGTAACTCCCACATGGGTGCCATTTTTTGCCCAGTGTCTTTCTTATTGTGGAATCATGTACATTGACCTTAACTGAGGCAAGTGAGGCCTGCAGTTCTTTAAATGTTCGTCTGAGTTCTTTTGTGACCTCCTGGTTGATTTGTTGGTGAAATTTTGGTAAGCTAGCCACTCCTGGGAAGGTTCACCGCTGTTCCATGTTTTCTCCATTTGTGGATAACGGTTCTCACTGTGGTCCCTTGGAGTCCCAGAGCCTCAGCATTGGCCTTGAAACTTTTTTCCAACTGGCAGATTTCAGTGACTTGGATTTGCATTTATATTTGAATCACTTTAGAACGTGGCATCAAGTGTTGCTTTCTGAGAACTTCTAGCTGCTTCACATTGCCAGACAGGTTCTGTTTAAGTGATGTTTAAATTCAACAGGTCTGGCAGTGATCATGCCTGGGTGTGGCTGTGAAATTGAACCCAATAGTCAATTGAATTTGGTTAACTGGTTGATTTAGTAGCTAAGGGGTAATTACTTTTTCACACAGGGCCGGGTAACGCTGTACAGTATTTTTTCTTCAATAAAACAAAATCATCATTTAATAACAGCATTTTGTGTTTACTTGAGTTATCTTTGTCTAATGTTCAAATGTGACAAATTGGGGAGGGGGTAAACACTTTTTCACAGCACTGAAGGAGAAAGCTGGGTTTTTTTCCGTTGTCATCTTAAACTTAATTTCTGCTCTTTCTCTTGCACAAGTTCCTCTGAAGAGTGTGGAGGTGGAGGTGCAGGTGAAGGGGCATGTTGCCACGGTAACGTCCACCCTGCAGTACGTGAATAAGGAGAAGCTTCCATTGGAGGCCCTGTTTGTGTTTCCATTACCTGCAGAAGCAGCTCTCTGTCACTTCAGTGCCAAGATCGCCAACCAGGAGGTGGTGGCCGAGGTGCAGGAGAAACAGAAGGTGAGCATGACATCCAAGAGCAAAAGGGCAAAAGACTGGAACTGGCCTAGCTGAGTAGGCCTTCAGGTGCCTCTTCCTCCTTGGTTGATGGAAATACATATAGACACACACACCGGTCAGGCATAACATAAGGACCACCTCTTTGTTTCTACGCTCATTGTCCATTTTATTAGCTCCACTTACTATATAGGTGCACTTTGTAGTTCTACAGTTACAGACTGTAGTCCATCTGTTTCTCTGCATACTTTGTTAGCCCCCTTTTACCCTGTTCTTCAGTGGCCAGGACCCCTATGGACCCTCACAGAGCAGGTACTATTTGGGTGGTGGATCATTCTCAGCACTGCAGTAACACTGACGTGGTGGTGGTGTGTTAGTGTGTGTTGTGCTGGTACGAGTGGATCAGACACAGCAGTGCTGCTGGAGGTTTTAAACACTGTGTCCACTCACTGTCCACTCTATTAGACACTCCTACCTTGTCAGTCCACCTTGTAGATGTAAAGTCAGAGACGATAGCTCATCTGCTGCTGCACAGTCTGTGTTGGTCATCCTCTAGTCCTTCATCGGTGGTCACAGGACGCTGCCCACAGGACGCTGCCCACAGGACGCTGTTGGCTGGATATTTTTGGTTGGTGGACTATTCTCAGTCCAGCAGTGGCACTGAGGTGTTTAAAAACTCCAGCAGCACTACTGTGTCTGATCCACTCATACCAGCACAACACACAGCGCAAGCACCTGAGCAGAGAAAGAGAGAAAGAACTTCTTTCTTCTTTCTCATCTACCACTCTTGCCTGGTTGCCTCATCCCTCACACAGACATGGTTACATAAAAACAGAATCTTTCTGATTTTTAATGTTACAGTGAGAGATTATTTTCATTTCTGCTCTTTCTCATCTCATCTGTTCAGCATGCAGGGTAGTGGGTGAAGGGGTGCAGCAGTATGAGGGGGGGTTTACAATTTGCATCATCATGCATTTTCATAGGTGGTACAGTGTGGCAGTGGGTAGAGCTGTCGCCTCACTGCATGAAGGGCCTGGGTTCGATTCCCTGGCCTGGTAACCAGGGTTCTTCCTGTTTGCATGCTGTGTCTGCCCTGTGATCTTCTGTCCAGTGACTGCTGGGTAGTGTTGAGGTCTAATTTATAACTTCAGTGATGCTTTAAATGAATATATTTGTATATTAATTGAGTAAACAAGGCCAACTGAAGCTGAATTTGATTTCCTTATTTATTGGTGATGTAACGATACACTCATCCCATGATTCGATTCAAATCACAATGCTGGGTCCATGGTTTAGTATTCTTGGGAAATTTGAACAAAATTTGAATCAAGAAAAATGACTACAATGATGTTGTTTCAGCTTAATAATGACAAAAGAGCTGGGATTAAGAAGGAGTACTGTAGTGAGTTGTTGACTGATGCTATTCATTTGCGAATGCTGGTGTTTAAACAATGCAGTTGCATTAAATGGCATAATTAATAGGTTGTCCATTCTTCACAGATACAATGTCACTTCTCCACGATGCACATTGTCTTACATTGCAATATCACAGTTTCATGATGCATTGTTAAACCCCTGACTAACATTTTCATCAGGGATTCCATTGCAGGTTGATGATGTGCTTTGCCCTCTCTTTCTCAGGCACGTGAGGACTATGATGATGCGATAAGTTCAGGTCAGCAGGCATTTCTATTGGAGGAGAGCGATGCGAGCCCAGATATTTTTCGGCTGGCTGTGGGGAACCTGCCTCCTAAAGAAAACGCTGCTGTGACTCTCATCTACGTCATTGAGCTGGCTGTGCAGGCAGATGATGGTCTGCGCTTCTGTCTGCCAGCAGTGCTCAACCCACGATATGCACCCAGCAACATCGGCAAGCTGATAATCATTTATGGCATTTATGACCAGTTTTTTGTCATGTTACGATGGAAGAGTCTCATATTTCTCTGTGGTTTATGTTTAATGTGGTTGTTTTCATTCATCTCTCTCTCTCTCAGATGCAAGTAATGTGCCCGAGGTAACAGCTGTTCCTGCAATTAAGGTGTCTTATACTCTGTCCCTTAGTGTCCACATCATCTCTCCCATCCCTGTTTCTAAAGTAGAGTCCAGCTGCTCTCTGGAACCACTGATCTACCTCAACACAGCTCAGACTCAGGCAAAGGTGAGTGTGCACTGAAAAAAAAGGGAAGACCTGTTTGAGTGAGCAGACGTTTCAGAGTTTTCAGACTCCCCAATTATCTGAACGCAGGTGAGTCTCTCTCCAGGACACAAGTTCGACAGGGATGTGGAGATGTTGCTTTATTACCAAGATGCCCATCAGCCCACTGCCATAGTAGAGGCAGGACTTCCGAACGCCAAACCAGGTAAAATTCATCAGCCCAAAATGACTCAAAAAATTCTGGTCCCATTGACTTACATTAAAAGTAAAGTATGTTTTTTTTTTCTTATATCAGGAAACAGTCAGGAAACTTTTCTGTGAAAGTAGAGTTTCTTGTAAAATGTCTCTCAACATTAAGCTTTTTATGAGGCTGAAGTCACTTCTCATTCACCAGCTTCTTGTTCGAATTTACCTGTTCCATCTTAAATGGTGCCTGAGGGGCCAGAATGTACTGCTGTGCCATTTAAGGTGAAATGGGAAAATTTGAAAAAAAAGCTGGTGAATGAGGAACTGACTTCAACTTCGCGACTTAGTGTTTGAGTTTCTCATTGCATATTAAACGTATCAGGAAACCAGCTGGAGTGATTATGACTGCAAATGAGTCCATTCGTCTCCAAATTATCGCTGTTCGTCTTAAATCTCTCTCTGCCGTTTCTTTAGCTACGAGCTAGGCGAGATTGTCTGCATCGCTCTGTGACCAGCAGTCTGCACGTCAATCTTCAGCGCTAAAAGCTGAATTAGCAGTTCTACATTAACTCCAGTGTTTAACACCATTTACTGTGAAAACTGTGTTAGAGCTGTGTGTTATAACGATCAGCAGAGCTTTATTTTACAGCGAAGGAGGACTTTGTGATTCTATCTAAAAATCTAGTTCTGCTGTAGAGCCTCATCGGGGCAGTAAAAGAGCCGCATGTTGCCAAACCCTGACTTAGCTAAAGCGGGAAAAACATTTTCCTAACCGACTATCACTAACAGTACTGCACAGAGCCAGAGTCACTGATGAGAATTTTGAGGCTAAAGTGTTGCTGAAGTTTAAAGGACTCTGTGTTGTGTCTGTACATCTCACTGAAATGTTTAAACTGGATCAGTTTTGTTTTAACGGTTGCCAGTGCTTTGCACAAAGTTGTTTGGTTTGTATTCGGTTATTTTTGTTGATTTTTGTTAGAATAAACCTTGAATGATTGACTTTGCCTTCAGTCTAAATTCTTGTTGGATGTCACGCCTTTGTTGTGTAAGTTTGATTGTTGGTTACACTTAAACTCACTTTTTGGTGATCTTTTTGTATATTTGCAGCTTTTCAGTTGTATGTTTGTTTCTTTCTGGCTCATGATTAAATGCAGTGTCTTGTTCACACTGTCAGTTTGGTGAGTCAGGTGGAGATTCACAAACATTCTGACAGTCGTGCTTTGAAAGTAGCTAAAAAGTAGCCACTACTTTTTCTGGAAAAGTAGCTAAATTGTAGCAGCTACACATTTTGGGAAAATAGCTACAAAGTAGCAAACTACAAATTTTTCAGTAGCTATCCCAACCCTGCATAATAGTTACCAAAAATACATCTTAATATTAATATCTGCATAATATCTGCATAATAAGCCAAGAGTTTAAAGAGTTAAACAAGTGTTTATTGAAACAACTACAATTTTCTCATCTACCATCTTCTTTAAACATGAAAATGAAACAGGATGTTTCATTACAGAGCCTTCCTTTTCCAGGTTCTCTGATGGGCGACTCCGTCGTCATGGTTAGTCTGTACCCAGAGTTCCCTCCAGAGGTGGCATATACTTTTGGGAAACGTGGAGAGTTTATTTTCCTAATGGATCAGTCAGGCAGTATGAGCGGGTCCTCGATCAAGAGCGCCCGGGTAAAGTTTTTACATTACTTTTAAAGCATGTGTTAATATTTAATGGAAATTTACTTACTTTTTTCCAATTTTGCCATTCTAGAGAAACCTACTGGGCCAGAATTGTTCACAATTGTTTATGTTAAAAGGAAATTTAACTGATTTTTTAACTAAAAATAGATAATTAAATCTTCAAGATGTGAGGAGTCATTGAGAGTGGTTGAATGTGAAATGGTGCACTATAGAGAAACTTACCAACTCTGATTTCTTTACAGTGCGGGTGATAGAAAACAGGAAATGCACAAATAAAGCTATTTTATTTAACATGCAAAACGAGCAGTAAACCTACATGTGTCTTCTGAGTTTTTAATATGTAATGGTGATAATGGTTAAACAGTAGTAAATGTACAAAAAATAAAGGAACAAAAATAGAAAAGAAGGTTTCTTTGGGGACTAATTTGCCTCATAACACCATGTATGTACCCTTCCACCATGAATGGATTTTAAAAATACTATTAAGTTCAGAAACACATATTCAGAACAATTCCATCTAATAACTTTCTGTTAGGGAGCTTTTAGATGCATTAAACTCTTCAGATGTCTGGTCCCCATCACCACCACTGTGATTTTATATTTTTATATTTTATATATTTATATAATAATAATAATAATAATAATAATAATAATAATAATTTTTATTTATATAGCACTTCTCAAAGTGCTTTACAGACAGGCAATAAACAGTTACACAAGAAATTATAAGTATTTATTTAGAATCAGAAGAAAATGAAATTATAAAAATCAAATTAGAAGATAAAAACCAGGAGACAAAGAGTTTTAATGAAATGCTGAGTTAAAGAGACACATTTTCAGACTTTTCACTTTTTATTAAAAGTAAGCTCTGAGCTTGACTTGAGCACAGTTGAGAAGCAGAATAACTGAAAGAGTCTCTCCACATTTTCTGTATTTTACTGAAGGTGGTTGCAGAAGGTCAGTATCTGCAGATCTTAGATTACGTGCTGGACCATAAACAGACAGACACTCTGTGATGTAAGTGGAGCTTTAAGGTCATTTTGAGCTTTAAAACTAGCAGCAGAACTTTAAAATCTATCCTGAATGATACAGACAGCCGGTGCAGCTCTTTTAAAACGGGAGTGATCTGATCTCTCTGTTCCGTTTTTGTTAGGATGCTGCTGCATTTTTAACACTGTAAGTTTATCGAGAATGGTGCATTTCAAACCGAACCTCTCTGACTGACTCTGTTTACATCTCAGTGATTCAATAATGAATTTTAGGAAATTAGTTTGTTTTCCTTTAAATGATAAATGACATTGCCTGGTGTCTGAGACTTTGTTTGACAATAGTTGTAAAATATAAAAGGATAAGATCTGGCCTAAAACATTGTTTTAAATATATGCTGGCTGGCCATTTCATTATGTACACCTCGTTTCTACAATCATTGTCCATTTTATCAGCTCCACTTACTATATAGGTGCACTTTGTAGTTCTACAGTTACAGACTGTAGTCCATCTGTTTCTCTGGATACTTTGTTAGCCCCCTTTTACCCTGTTCTTCAGTGGTCAGACCCCCAAAGGGGACCACCACAGAGCAGGTATTACCTTCTCCCTTACCTGCATATATTTACAATCATTGAAGATACATGTAAATAAGGGAGATTAATGAAGACCTGCTGGAACCCCACATTCTTCAACAGCACATAATAATTTTTCCCTTGTTGTTATTAACATGTTAGTTTCTCCTCGTGTCATTCTGCAGGAAACTCTTCTCCTGCTGCTGAAGAGTCTTCCCCTGGGCTGCTACTTCAACATCTACGGCTTTGGTTCTGACTTCAAGTCCTTTTTCTAGTGAGTGCTCTGTGGTCACTTAGGTCATCATGATCATGATTAGTGCACTAGCAGATTTAGGCCCAGTCCCATTTCTTCTTTATACCCCTACCCCTTGTTTTCGAGTGTTACCCTAACCCCTTGGAACTGTTAACTTCATTAACAGCTACCAGTGCTGCTCTGTAGACGACCGCAGAGTCAGAGTAAAGTTCAGCTCCTCACTGCTGGGCTTTAGTTACATTTAGGGCATCATATGCCTTCAAAGAGGGGGGCAATTATTTATTATCACCCACCCCTAATTCTTCAGAGATATGAAGCTGAAGTCAGATATTCTCCAGCTTCTTGTTCGAATGTTCCTGTTCCACCTTAAATGGTGCAGCAGCTACATTCTGGTGCTTCAGGCGTCAGAACTGCTGGACTATTTAAGGTGTAACGGGAAAGTTAGCTAGCTAGCTACCGAGACATTGGCATACTATTAGCAATTTTTTATGCTTGTTATGAAGAAAAACGACCAAAATACACTGAAACAACATTAAACTAAGATAATACAGTGGTTATTGTAATTTTTAATGGACAAAATTCTCACATTTGTGGGTTTCTTTGGTCTCTTGTTCAGCCGTCTTGCCAGTTTTTCTTTTTTTCTCATATCACTCTGTTTGGAGTCTCTGAAAAACCTCTGTTTGGAGGGTCATGTAGCCCTAACACTTCGCCCCACCCCTCTATCTCAACAAGAATTGGGACACCCTACCCCTAGACGTGAATGCGCAAAACAGAGGGCTAAGGGCTGAGTGGTAGGGGCAAGAGGTGAAATGGGATTGGGCCTTAGTTTGATAACTGAAAAAAGCTTTAACTCACAGATGCATGAGTTCATTTAATTCTTTTTTGTTCCAGTAAGAGTGTGGAATACACTCAGCAGACGATGGAGGAGGCGATGAAGAAAGTGGAGGCTATGAACGCGGATATGGGTGGGACAGAGATTCTGAAACCACTGCGGCACATCTATGGTCAAGAATGCCTTCCAGATCATCCCAGACAGGTACGGTGCTCCTCACTCCAAGAACAACACAGAACTGCATTATTTGTCTGAGTTTAAGTATATTTTACGTCTTGATCTCCAAAAGAGGAGGAGGGTTAGAGGTCTTTTTTTTTTTGCTCACCACAAAGTTTTTCTTTCTCTTTTACAAGGTGTTTGTTTTCACTGACGGAGAGGTCTTCAACACCAAAGAGATCCTGGACCTGGTCAGAACTCACTCTAGATCCCACAGGTCAGTTTATTCACTCAAGCACACATGACACCACAGTCTGTTGTTTTGTGGAGATGGTCATGTTGGTTCATTTTTTTTAGGTGCTTCACCTTCGGCATTGGTCAGGGAGCCAGCACTGCACTGATCACTGGAATGGCTACAGAAGGACGCGGCATTGCCCAGTTCATCACAAGCGATGACCGACTGCAGCTCAAAGTAAGACTGGGCGTGGCTCTGTGTGCTTACACTGTTAGTAGAATATAAACAAAGACAAGTGCAGAGTGAAGATCATCTGTCCTTCTTTCTCTATAATTCTGATCCGTCTCCTCTTTTCTGCAGGTGATGCAGTCCCTCAGCCTCGCCCTGCAGCCCTCTGTTGTTGACATCTCTGTGCAATGGACCCTTCCAGAGGGCGTGTCCGTCACTGCTTTGTCTCCTCCCCTCAATGTTATCCTTCAGGGTCAGAGGGCACTTCTGTACGCTCAGGTCACAGGAGAGGTGAGAGAACTCTGTCAATATATAATATGTAGACTATGATTTTTGAAGTGAAAAGATGTAAACACATAAGTAATTTTAATTTTAAACATAACATTTTCTGCTAAAATCGATGCACAGTTATGTTATAATTATTAAACATTAAAAATAAAATAGTAATCATGACAGATCCGAAAGTTTGAACATCCTACTAGGCCAGTACTGAGAAACACCTCTTTGGCAGTTTGCAAACTCTTTTTGTAGCCAGCTAGGAGCCTTTCTGTTCTTATTTTAGGAATGTTTAGCAATGTTTTGTTTAGAAATGTTTTAGGAATGTTGGCAGTGCAATAATGAATGTACAAGGAGGCGCAGGTAACAGCGTATATGGATGCATTATGCATAAACAGGGGTGCAGTTTTTCTGTGCACAATGGCACAGTCCTTCCCCAAACTGTTGCCAGGAAGTTGGAAGCATATAATTGTCTAAAATGCCTTTGTACGCTGTAGCATTAACAGTACCCATCACTGGAACTAAGGGATCAAGCCCAAACCCTGAAAAACAACCCCATAGCATTATCGAGACACCAATATTTCACTGCGAAATGAGCTTTTATTAAATAAAAAATAAATGCCTCCTAAATATAAGATGTTAATTCTATTATTCAGTAGTACTAACTAGTAGTAAGCACCAAAACATACAGGTTATCTTATATTTAGGTTCACACAGGCACAAGGCAGATGTTAGCTTTCTATTTGCCAGCTTCTAACTGGTCACCGTAGTTAGAACTGTGATGGAATCGTTTTCCACCAGTCATGGAAAATGTCATAGTGTCACCTGTTTTAGTGGAGCATCCGCAATAGCCAGTGCAAAAGTGCAGAAAGTATGCAAGTTTGTAAGCTTACAAAGGTGCTTTTGGCTTTGTGCAACCCTGTGTGCGAATTCTGTTTTGCAAGAAGTTTGCTGTGACCTTTGGCAGCCGCTCTCTCTACGTTTGCGTGGTCTACCACTTCGTGGCTTTACTGTTGTTGCTGCTACAGTTAACCGGGGCAGATCTAGCAGGGCATAAATTTTGCGTTTAAAGTCTCTGAGCTATTCAGTACGACCCATAATACCAGAGGTTACTAATAGGCAGACCGCGGCCCGAGTCTGGACCAAGACGCTGTACTATGTGGACCTGAACCTATAACCGTTAAACTATGGAGAATTATTTAATTTCGGCGGGGTGGTCCTATTTTAATCAATGCAACTTTAATAGCCTTTATGGTAGCTTTAGCGCCCCGGGAAACTCACAGACCAAACGCATGCAATGGAAATATCACACGTGACGCTACTCAGCCAATCAGATCTGTGCATTACGATGAGCACTGAGACTCGAGTGAGTGACGCACGCACAGGGGAGGGACGAGGCGAGAAACAGCAGAAAGTGAGTCAGAGGGAAGTTATTTCACATGGCACACTCTAAAAAGAGAAAACTGACATTAAATGTTGTTGACATATAACTGAATTGTACTTTATTTGATTTGACATTCAGTTGTTGACTGTATAAGATGTTGATATACCTACTAGGCTACTTCAGTAAACAGTATATGGCACTGAATCATAATGGAGTTAGACATTATGATATTCCGGACCTTCGCTTGAGGAAATTTTCTCTAACTGGACCTTATTGACTTTTTAATTAAAGACCCCTGCATTATACTGTCAGTGTTTGTCTGTTGAGATTGCATGGCTATTTGTTTGTTTTTGTACACTCATAAAATAGAAGTACACTTATAGCAATGGGTGTTGCTGAAATGCCTGATCTCAAAAATTAGGCATAAGGCTTTTATACAGTCATTTCCAAAAGTGAGAATAAGTACACATCCTGTACAGAGATACACAGTTACTCTTTATTTCACTTCATTTACTTTAGTTTACTTAATTTAACAAAATAAATGTGTAAAGGTCATGGGGCAATTTTTATTATATGTTTTGTTTTCCCAATATTTGCTATTAACTGCAGCAAATACATAGAAATTATCCCCTAAAATTAGCAGAAAATGCCATATTTAAGTGTGTTCCCTGTACAGAAGTTTTCATTTGTTTTAAAATGTGGAAAATGGTAAAAATAAATAAAAATCTTATATGAGTAGATAATGTGAATAAGCATTTACATTAACTACTTCTAATAGTTGACCAGAGGTATAAAATAATATAGCTGATTAAGTTATTATGTAATAACAAAATCAATTTTTGTCTGTCTAACGTAGAGCTCTGAGAACGATGAAGGAAGTGTCACTGTGCACTATGGTCTGGCAGAGCAACCAATGACAAACCAGCTCAGCTTCTGCCTTAAACCTTCTGGGGACACAGGGTAACATAAACACAGTGTACTTGCCCTTGCAGTTTATAGAGGGCGCTGCATACTAATAATGGTTTTTTGCATAACAGCAGTAATTTTACCTCTTTTATTAACAATGTCAGTACGCTGGAAGTAAAAGCTGACAATGTCATTGTTGATACTCTATGAAGGCTGGGGATTCATAGGCTGGCCGCTCGTTCCTTGATCCGATCTCTGGAAATGGAGCAGAGGGAAAAGAAAGATGAAAGCTTAAGAGAAAAGGTGGTGGAGCTCAGTGTGCAGGCGGGAGTGAGCAGCGCTTTCACTGCTTTCCTCGCCGTCCACAAGGGCAGCGGACAGCCAGTGAGAGGACCACTGGTGAGGAGGACAGTGCCAGTGGCACAAGCATGTGGTATGTTTAACTGTTTTATTATTTCAAAACTTCAGAACTCTAAATTCACATGCTGCCCAGTATTGAGAGAGAAAAAAGTTTGTAGTCAATACTTTCACATATATTTACATTTACTGCATTTGGCAGACACACTTATCCAGAGCGATTTACACTTTGATCATTTTCCTGTAGGTGAAGGTAGTGTCAGGAGTCTTGCCCAAGGACTCTTATTAGTATAATGTAGGGTGTTTACCCAGGCAGGGCATTGAACCCCAGTCCAAAGCTCAGAAGGCAGAGGTGTTACCCACTACATTAGAGGTCACAAATAGGTGGACTGCGGTCCAATTCCAGACCCAGACGCTGTCCTATGTGGGCCTGGACCTATAATCGATAAACTATGGAGAGTTATCTGGCTGCTCTGAAACAGTAGTCGGAGAAGAAAGTGAGTCAGATTATTTCACATGGTGTGATCTAAAAAGAGAAAACTGACAATAAATATTGTTGAAATATGACTGAACTGTACTTTATTTGATTTGACATTCAGTTGTTGACTGTATAAGATGTTGATATACCTACTAGGCTACTTCAGTAAACAGTATATGGCACTGAATCATGATGCAAGTTAGACATTATGATGTTCTGGACCTTTGTTTGAGGAAATTTTCTTTAACTGGACCTTACTGATTTTTAATTAAAGACCTCTGCACTACACTATACCAACCACATATATGAAATACAAGGTTCAAAGCCATACTAAGTAAGCCCTACGTTGGCCAGATCAGCAGATAGTTAACAGGTTAACAGGCTCCTCCAATAGCTTCTCAGGGTGGGGGTTGGCACAGCTAAAATTCCTGTATTTTAGTCATTGGGAAAGCCATCTGTGCTCCTCCCAGACACCAGGGTAGATTCCCTTAAGTGTTGAGTTCATGTATAAAACATAGTTAACAGTTAAATCAACCTTCTTTGGGTCTTTGTATGATTTGAGCCCCTCCACAAAATTGGCAGGTGATGTGGGCAGCAGTAGCAGTCGGGTTACATCTGATACTGTATTACTAACTCTTATCTCTCTTTTCAGAAGAGCACATGAAATGGTTTTGTGGGTTTATGCATTTTTCCCCCAAAATGAGTTAATTTTCTTAATAAATGTTCTTTGTCTGTGTAGGAGGTGGATTCCAAATGGCTAGACGGTAAGTTTAAAATCCACACATTGTTTAAAGCATTGTATAGAGTACAACACTGAAAACAATCAACCAAATCAAAATAACAGAGCAGAACAAAACATTTTCTATGAAGAAAACTGATACGGAAATTAAGAGAAACTAAGGAAATTAAGAGTAACCCTGTCTTCAGTGGTACAGTGAAAACAAGAAAAATACAATATTTATTAGTAAAGCTAACTGTTAGTCAAAATTAGCCAGTGTATCTAGCTGCCTGTCACACACCTGAACTGCTTTCATGTATAGTTTACGGGCAAAACATAAACATGAATAATCAACCCCTGAAATGACCAAACTGCACTTCTCAAAGGTGTAGCTGTTTCTTCTGACTGCGCTTCAGTAAGGTTTAAGTTTAAGGGTCATAATCTCAAAGTGCTCCTCTGACACCATCAATCTGCACACATCAGAGTACCTGAGGTACGAGACTCTACTCCTCTTCCTCCTCCTCCTCCTCTTTTGGCAGCTTCTTCTCAAAATATTTCTCAGTACCGGCTAACATCCTGCGAGTGATGCTCTTTCTCATTACTGTCCCCCCCCCGACCTGAGCTATGTTCATGTAGTGGTCGAATTCAAAGCACATTTTCCAAAATGGATTGATGAAAAAAAATGTAAACGGTTGAAAAATACATAGATGGGTATTGATATACTTTGGTGCACCGCCAAAGCAAAACCTAGGAAACCTGTAGGAAACCTATGTGTAGATTTAATTACCATAGTTACTGTGTCCTTCCTGTGTCTCAGCACTTTAGACAGGGGTCATCAGCCTCCTTCTGCTTCTCTTTTTGAAAATTCATCAGGGCAGGTATTAAAGGTGCAGTGTGTAAGATTTAGGGGGTCTATTAGGAGAGATGGAATGGTTTTTATTAGTGTATAAGCACAAACTGCATCTCAGTGTGGTTCGGCAACTACTCCACATCTGACCACAAAGAGCTCCAGTGGGTGATGAAAACTGCCCAACGCGTCACAGGTGCCCAGTTACCATCCGTTGAGAACATTTAACATAAGCGCTGCCTGGGCAGGGCGAGGAACATCATCAAGGACATTTCTCATCCTAACCATGGACTTTTTACCCTCCTCCCGTCTGGCAGGTGTTACAGGAGCCTCAGCTCCCGCACCAGCAAGCTATAGCACCGTTTGGAAGACGTAGAAAGGAAGAATCAGTGGTTGGTGCCGGTGCTGGTAACCATTTAGTGACAGCAGAAAACAAGGATAAACATTGGACTTTCTTAGATGAAAATTGCTGATGAGGGACAATTGTTTTCAAAATGATGTCAAAGTTGCCTGTTTGCTGCTGGACAGGTAATTTAGAGCACCAGTCTATATGCTATGTACCCAACAGCCACCAAAGTCTCTACTACACACTTGGAAGTGATGGGTGAGGGAGGGGTATTCAGTTAATTTAATTTAAGTTAAGTTAATTTAATGGCCAACCACCCAGATCATTCAGCAGCCAGTTATAGGGGTTTCTTTTGGCCGTAGCTCTTGTATTCTTTCTCAGTACTCAGCATACAGTGCTCATCAGCCTCCTCCTCTTGTTCCTCCCACTTCTTGAAAATGACCCAGGGGAAGTCAAACTGAGCCCTGGCGTGGTGCATTACCCCCAGATGAATGGGCATCACTAGCAGGTAAGGATTTTTTTTAAACAGGAACACAGAGAGGAGTGTCCTCTAAATACAGTTGTACTTGACTGTATGCAACTTTGATGAATGAGGGCCAGTCTGATTAGAAAATACCGTTATTTGGCTTCATATATTGCCCACCCCCAAAATGAGTTATTTCTCTTAATTACTTTTCTTTTTCTGTGCAGGAAGTGACTATGAAACTGGTCTAGGGTAAGTTTAAAATGCACACTTTTACACACGGTTTAAAGCGTTATATAAAGCATTACATGCAGTTTGGTACAACACTGAAAACATCCAATCAATCAAAGTAACCCAGCCTATCAGGTGCACTGTTAAAGAACTGTAAAAAATGGAAAATACACTGAAGAAAATACTGGAAATACAGAAAATATCTGTAAGATTAACAGACAATCCCATCACTCCTTTAATGGAAATTCTGTTAAATTACAGTACAAATTACAGTACATACGAATGTTTCGTATTCATATACAAAACATTCCATACTTTTACTGTTTCATCTGTAAAAAATCATGTAGGTTTCCTTCAGCTCAAAAGAGAAAAATCTTCTGTATCCTCCACTAAAATCCAGCCAGTACATTGGTTGGCTGAGAATATCAGCCATTATTGATGATCCACAGATTTAGCGTTATTAACAAACATATCATTCAAAATTTGCCAATAAGCAGTGATTTTGTTGGGCTGTGGCCTGATCAGGATTCAAACATGTCATAGTCTCTACTACACACTTGGAAGGGGGGAGTGGTGAGGTAGGGGTATTCAGTTTAATCTGCAACCTCACCAGTAGATGGCACTAAACCTTACACACTGCACTTTTAAAACTTTTTTTTTATTTACAGGCTTAATGTATGTATTTTTTTGTGAGGGATGCATTGTTTCACTGTGAAACTATACCCGGTCACTCAAATATATATAAAAACAAGTGGTCTGACCTGCTGTCTGCCTCAGTTTTAACCTGGCATTTTTGTTAGTGCTGTAAAAATTGACAATATAGATCCGTTTCTGAGACTTTTTTGCACTACAGCCCACCAGCTGTTTTTATATACTGGTTATATATGGCTGTTTTTATGTACTCTGGCAGGAGAATTACAGTGAACTAAAGTGTTTATGACTGACAGAAGAATCCATAATTGCTGGGAAAAGGGGTTAAACATAAGTCAAAATGAAGACGCAAGCTAGACTAGAATAATCAACCCCTGAAATGACCAAAATGCACTACTAACTGTTTTTCAGAAGGTTTAAGTTAATTTCACGGCCAAGCACACAGACCATTCAGCAGCCAGTTACAGGGGTTTATTTTGGCCATAGCTCTTGTATTCTTTCTCAGTACTCAGCATACAGTGCTCATCAGCCTCCTCCTCTTGTTTCTCCCACTAAAGTCCAACTGAAGATGACTATCCGGATTATATATGTTGTGGGAGTGACTCTCCACCAGGTAAGGATTTCTTTAAACAGGAACACAAAGAGGAGTGTCCTCTACCTACAGCTGTATTTGACTGTATGCAACTTTGATGAATGAGGGCCAGTCTGATTAGAAATTACCATTCTGTGCATATTTATTAATGTATTTTAGACATTGGGAAATCAATTTGTGCTCCTCCCAGACACCAGGGTAGACAGTGGCTTTTTGTGGCTTCATATATTTCCCCCCAAAATAAGTTATTTCTCTCAATTGCTTTTCTTTGTCTGTGTAGGAGGTAAATACCAAGATGTTCTAGGGTAAGTTTAAAAAGCAAACTTTTACACACAGCTTTGTATATTACATGCAATTCATTACAACACTGAAAACATCCAACCACATCAAAGTAACACAGCCTATAAAGTATATCTGTAAAAATCCATAAAAAATGGAAAATATATTGAATAACACCCACAGATTTAGTGGTATCAACAAAAATATCATTGATAATGTACCAATAATCAGTGATTTTGTTGTAGATGTTATGCACCCAACAGCCACCATAGGTTCTACTAAACACTTGGAAGGGGAGTGGTGAGCAAGGGGTATTCAGTTCAATCTGCAACCTCACCAATAGATGGCACTAAATCTTACACACTGCACCTTTAAGAGGTTTCATTTACATGCTTAATTTATGTCTTCATGCCTTTTCTGAGTGTGAGGGATGCAGTGTTTCACTGTGAAAGTCTTTCAAATATATATATAAACAAGTGGTCTGACCTGCTGTCTGCTTCAGTTTTAACCTGGCATTGTTGTTAGTGCTCTAAAAAATTGACAATATAGATCCGTTTCTGAGATTTTTTGCACTACAGCCCACCAGCTGTTTTTATATACGGCTGTTTTTATATACTGTTTATATATGGCTGTTTTTATATGCTGTTTATATATGGCTGTTTTTATATGCTGTTTATATATGGCTGTTTTTATATGCTGTTTATATATGGCTGTTTTTACATGCTGTTTATATATGGCTGTTTTTATATGCTGTTTAAATATGGCTGTCTTTATATACTGTTTATATACGGCTGTTTTTATATGCTGTTTATATACGGCTGTTTTTATATACTGTTTATATACGGCTGTTTTTATATGCTGTTTATATACGGCTGTTTTTATACGCTGTTTATATACGGCTGTTTTTATACGCTGTTTATATACGGCTGTTTTTATACGCTGTTTATATACGGCTGTTTTTATACGCTGTTTATATACGGCTGTTTTTATACGCTGTTTATATACGGCTGTTTTTATACGCTGTTTATATACGGCTGTTTTTATACGCTGTTTATATACGGCTGTTTTTATACGCTGTTTATATACGGCTGTTTTTATACGCTGTTTATATACGGCTGTTTTTATACGCTGTTTATATATGGCTGTTTTTATACGCTGTTTATATATGGCTGTTTTTATACGCTGTTTATTTATGGCTGTCTTTATATGCTGTTTATATATGAATGTTTTTATATGCTGTTTATATATGAATGTTTTTATATACTCTGGCAGGAGAATTACCATGAACTAAAGTGTTTATGACTGACAGAAGAATCCATAATTTCTGGCAAAAGGGGTCAAACATAGGTCAAAACTGAAGATGCGAGCTGGACTAGAATAATCAACCCCTGAAATGACCAAAATGCACTACTAACTGTTTTTCAGTAAAGTTTAAGTTCAGTTAACCAAGCACACAGACCATTCAGCAGCCAGTTACAGGGGTTTATTTTGGCCATAGCTATTGTGTTGTTTCTCAGTACTCAGCATACAGTGCTCATCAGCCTCCTCCTCTTGTTTCTCCCACTACTTGAAAATGATCCAGGGAAAGTCCACCTGAAGATGGCTATTGTGATGGTATACTTTTCCCAAGCAAATTTCCACCAGGTAAGGATTTCTTTTTAAACAGGAACACAAAGAGGAGTGTCCTCTACCTACAGCTGTATTTGACTGTATGCAACTTTGATGAATGAGGGCCAGTCTGATTAGAAATTACCATTCTGTGCATATTTATTAATGTATTTTAGACATTGGGAAATCAATTTGTGCTCCTCCCAGACACCAGGGTAGACAGTGGCTTTTTGTGGCTTCATATATTTCCCCCCAAAATAAGTTATTTCTCTCAATTGCTTTTCTTTGTCTGTGTAGGAGGTAAATACCAAGATGTTCTAGGGTAAGTTTAAAAAGCAAACTTTTACACACAGCTTTGTATATTACATGCAATTCATTACAACACTGAAAACATCCAACCACATCAAAGTAACACAGCCTATAAAGTATATCTGTAAAAATCCATAAAAAATGGAAAATATATTGAATAACACCCACAGATTTAATGGTATCAACAAAAATATCATTGATAATGTACCAATAATCAGTGATTTTGTTGTAGATGTTATGCACCCAACAGCCACCATAGGTTCTACTAAACACTTGGAAGGGGAGTGGTGAGCAAGGGGTATTCAGTTCAATCTGCAACCTCACCAATAGATGGCACTAAATCTTACACACTGCACCTTTAAGAGGTTCTTTTTTTTTTTTTTTCATTTACATGCTTAATTTATGTCTTCATGCCTTTTCTGAGTGTGAGGGATGCAGTGTTTCACTGTGAAAGTCTTTCAAATATATATATAAACAAGTGGTCTGACCTGCTGTCTGCTTCAGTTTTAACCTGGCATTGTTGTTAGTGCTCTAAAAAATTGACAATATAGATCCGTTTCTGAGATTTTTTGCACTACAGCCCACCAGTTGTCTTTATATACTGTTTATATATGGCTGTTTTTATATGCTGTTTATATATGGCTGTTTTTATATGCTGTTTATATACGGCTGTTTTTATATGCTGTTTATATACGGCTGTTTTTATATACTGTTTATATATGGCTGTTTTTATACGCTGTTTATATATGGCTGTTTTTATACGCTGTTTATATATGGCTGTTTTTATATACTGTTTATATATGGCTGTTTTTATACACTGTTTATATATGGCTGTTTTTATACGCTGTTTATATATGGCTGTTTTTATATGCTGTTTATATATGAATGTTTTTATATACTCTGGCAGGAGAATTACCATGAACTAAAGTGTTTATGACTGACAGAAGAATCCATAATTTCTGGCAAAAGGGGTCAAACATAGGTCAAAACTGAAGATGCGAGCTGGACTAGAATAATTAACCCCTGAAATGACCAAAATGCACTACTAACTGTCTTTCAGTAAAGTTTAAGTTCAGTTAACCAAGCACACAGACCATTCAGCAGCCAGTTACAGGGGTTTATTTTGGCCATAGCTATTGTGTTGTTTCTCAGTACTCAGCATACAGTGCTCATCAGCCTCCTCCTCTTGTTTCTCCCACTACTTGAAAATGATCCAGGGAAAGTCCACCTGAAGATGACTTTTGTGATGGTTTACTTTTCCCAAGCAAATATCCACCAGGTAAGGATTTCTTTAAACAGGAACACAAAGAGGAGTGTCCTCTACCTACAGCTGTATTTGACTGTATGCAACTTTGATGAATGAGGGCCAGTCTGATTAGAAATTACCATTCTGTGCATCTATTTATGTAACTTTTGCAGTTAAAGTCACTATTATAAATGCAGGCCACTCCTCCTCATCGTCTGCCTGTCTTGCTCTATCCATAAATCTGTAGTTTTCAGGAGCAGCTTCAAGTAGAGTTTCTGTGCCCTCTACCAACACAGCTAGCAGAGGCTTTTGTATTAGGACAGCAGAGAGAGAGGGGAATGGTAGAAACTAAGGAGATGTTGTCTATATCATAAAAAGCACTTACCTTTCTGCTGTTGATACTACTTACCCATCCGTTGTCTACTACCAGCAGTCAGGCTGAACACAAGAAATGTAACTAATATGGGAAGTGTCTGGTTTTTACACAGTACTGCATATGATTTTGTAATTAAAATAAATACTTTTGAACATACTTTTGCATCAGTCCCACCAGCCCAGAAGGACCCCTACTTGGAGCTGCTCTCTCTCCAGAAAGCTGCAGGGTTCTGGGAGTTGGAGACTCGACTTCTGGATCTGTTTGGCAAGGCAGAGCAGAATCTGGACAAGCAGATGCCGGCCCAGGTTTGTCATGCTGAGTTATGATAATGTAGCTTTTATATATTTTTATATATTTTGTATTCAGAACCCTTCACTGTCCCCATCTTGCTATGTTACAGTCTTACTATAAAATTAATTCATTTTTTTATCTCAAAAAAAGAAAAAAAGAAACAGGTTTTCAAAAAGTTTATTCAAATTAAAAAAAATAAAAACAAAATACATTTACACAAGTATTCAGACCCTTTAATCAGTGTTTTCTCTAAGCACCCTTCACAGTAATTGCTGTTTCAAGTATTCTTGAATAATGATGCTACACTGGATTTGGGGATCTTCTACTATTTCTTTCTGCAGAACCTATCAAGCTCTGTCAGGTTGAATGGGGATACTGCAGTGCTGTAGTAGTTTTCAGGTCTGTCCTGAAAGCTCTGAGCTCTAGCTGGGCCACTTAATGACATTCTCAGACCGGAACCACTATTTTGTTGCCTTAGCTGTGTATTTGAGATCATTCATGTGCTGGAAGGTGAACTTTAAAACCAACCCGAGTATTCCTTAGCAGTTTTTTCCATAGAGTTTTCTTTCTAAGGTACTGTCTGCTGTCATCTGTGATTTTTCCCTCTGTTCTGACAAACTTCTTGGTCTGTGTTGCTGAAAAATTTTCCCTTAGCATGATGCTGCCACCACCATGCTTCACTGATTTTTCATCATGCTCGTGATTTTTCCCTCCATTCTGACAAACCTCTCAGTCCCTGTTGCTGAAAAGTATTCCCTTAGCATGATGCTGTAATCTGTGTTTCCCCCCCCCATTCTGCTGCTGAAAAATGTCCCCTTAGCATGATGCTGCCTCCACCATGCGTCACTGTAATAGAAACTTGCTTATAAGTGCGCCATAAGTGGGGTATCTGAAAACCATGGAAGGGTGGACTGAGGGATGTGGTGTAGGGGGAAAATATGGGCTGGTATATGTGCAAAACATGTAGATCCCAAGGAGCTACACATAGAGGAGAAGGAATGATGTTGCTTTCTTCTTTCAAAAGATTTTTTAAATGACTTTTTTTGCTGTTTTCTTCTGTATGATTTGAACTAGGAGGAGCTTTATTTGGTGCAGATGATGTGAAATCTGCCACAGTACCAATCAGATTTAACTATATGTATTTATCAGCTATTTATGATGCTTTTCCTTATGTAAAGTCACTGCTGTCCTGCTGCCCCGAGTCCCAGACAAAACTTCCAGTGAGTAGGTTATTTCAGCTTTTCTAAATTTGTTATTGGTGCTTGTTATAAAGGTTTATTACAGCTTGGTTTGTAGCTAGACGCTGCGTCCTACTATAGGCAATTAGCTTCATTGAGTTAAACGTGTAGCTCTTTATCTGTGGTCAGAGTAAGTCACTCTTGCCTGGACATTTCTGGGTCCAGGATCACTCCTCACCTACCAGTTACGCTGACGTGTAAAAACCACAGTGCTTGATACATTCATAGTCCACTGCCTAAATAATAACTGGCCAACAGTGCTCTTGAGGTTAGAAACTGACCAATGATGAACGGCATATGGGATATTTATACAAGCAAATGTTTTAATCATGTGGAATTCTATGTATTTTTTAATGGTTGTGTGCAGGTGGACAGTGCAGTGTGGGCCACTGTTCTGGCTCTGATTTGGCTCCACGGCTTCAGCGCAGATAAACAGGAAGAGTGGAAGTTCATTGCCTTGAAGGCCACATCCTGGATCCGTTCTCAGAAAGGTCACACAGAACATCACCAACAAACACAGTGTAGAATATTTCAATCATTATTCCTCTTACATTCAACATAAAACAGCAAACTAAGCAAACCTGAGAAGAAACACTGTTTTAGCCACAATTCACGTCACATGTGTGCTGGGTCTTATTTCTGTCTGGTGAAGTTTACTGGAATCACATGATTATATACAGAGATGCCAGTTTATTAGATACCTCCCTTGCAGCCACGCTTGCTAGCCATTTTATTAGGTACGTTTTATTAGGTCCCTGTCGTTACTGAACAATAAGTCTTGGTATGTAATAAGCCAGAGATTTTAAAGGTCAAACATTTTATTTCCAGGCATTTGTTTTTAACTGTTGAAAAAGCAAACAGTATTTCAAACTGTTTGCTGCCTAGTGTTGTCACCTCAACCCTGGACACTTGATCAGTAAAAAATACTGCCAAATGTCTATACATGTCAACAGCAGTGCACTTTTCCCAAACGTTTGTCCGAACATTGAGGGTAATCTGAACTAATCAAACTATTCTTTATATACAGATGATTTGACTGAACAAATGAAATGTCAAAAGAAATGTTAACATAGCGCTGTTGTCAGAAGAAAACCTCGTATCTCCAAAATAGTAACTGTACAGGAGAAGGAAAAAACCTACTTTACTTTTAAATCAATGGACGTCAGACGTTTTTCCAAGTCATTTTGGGCCGTTTCTTCTCACATTTTCACATTATGAATTTCCTGGACAGACAACCAAAAACCTGGACAATCCAGGGAAATCCTGGACAGGTGGCTTAGATATGTTTGATATGGTTTGTGCTCCAAATCTCAATTTCCATAACAGAAACAGCATTGAATGCTCACTAGTGGTAAGCAGAGAGAGCTTGTCTGGTGGAATGCATCATTATTACTCACGAATTTGACCAGAATTACTGGACTTTACAGCCTGCGGACTTTCTCGGACTTCTTGTATTGGAATGTAATGAATATCTGATTGATGTCATTGATTTTCAGTATTCGAATTCTGGCACCCTGATATGATTATCTAAGTGCAAGGTAGGTATGTGTATTAAACTGGAGAACTCAGTGTAATGGTTGTGATTCGTGTTTCATGATGATGTGTTTCAGTGGGGAACCTGTCTGAATGCGTCCAGGCTGGAAATGCTTTGCTGGGTTGTCAGGTGAAGGAAGAGAGTCTTGGACTTTGAGCTCCTCCTGCATTCTGACGTATGGCTGTCCACCACACTTACCTCTCCATTCCTGGACTCATAACCACACAAAGATCCATTCTTGCTGGAACTGGTTGTTTCAAATAAAATGTATCCATAATTGCTTCACCAAATTATAAAAAGCTGCAGGTTTCTTTGTTGATGTTGACAGCATGACTGCTCGCATTTCACTTAGTAGCCATGCGAATCTAATTGAGCCAAAGCTTTCTGCTTTTGCTATTTGTACCACACTTTGTAATCTGTGCAACAGATTAAAAAGAGTATATGCTGTTTTTGTGCTGTGCAGTCAATGTTTTATTTTGCTGCTATTGCAGATCAATAAAGTACATCCATCTACCAAATATTTGGTACACACCACACACACACACACACACGTTTGTCTATACATATGAGGATGTCAAAAGGTTTCTATTGATTTTTGTGCTACTGTTACTAAATAATACTACACGTAAACCTAACCCTAACCTCAGTATCCAAAAGGCAACTTTTCTGCTCTTTTAGTTTTCAAATAAAAAAGTAACTGGGGTGAAAACAACACATGCTCAAGTAAGGACCAGCAAAATGTCCTCACTTGAGCAAAAATTTCATGTAGTCCTATCATAGCGAGGACATGGGGTCCTCACAAGTATAGCAATACAAGAACACACACACAGACACACACACACACACACACACACACAATCTAAGCCACTTTATCCGGCGGGGGGGGGGCTGGAGCCTATCCAAGCAGTCACAGGGCAGAAGGCAGGAAACACCCTGGACAGGTTGCCAGTCCATCACAGGGCAGATACACAGACATACACATTCATTAGCGTGTCCAATTAGCCTGTCTGCATTCTTTGGACTGTGGGAGGAAACCAACACAGACACAGGGAGAACATGCAATCTCCACACAGAAAGGACCCTGCTCATCCGGCCTGGGAATTGAACCCAGGCCCTTCTTGCTGTGAGGCAACAGCGCCACCATTGTCAGGCAACAATAAATATAAATAAATATAAATATGTTGTAAATGCACTCAAATGTGGAAGTAGAACTGCTACACATTTCACAAGCAAAACTGAAAATGAAACCAAAATCCCACATCTGTGGATCATTCAGTAGCAAAAACGCCTCGACTTGCTCCCCCTAGTGCTGTGTAATAAATTGCAGTTAGTGCACAATGAGTAAATAAGCTATGAACTAACAACAAGCTAAACTATCACTGAACAGTGTAGTCAGCTACTAATTACTAATAAAGTACATAACTAATAACTAATGGCTAATGAACACTATTAATATATAAACAATGAGTTGTTAATGACATTAACAGCATAACTACTTATTTTGCAACCCTTAAGGTAGAGTGTTATGAGATTATGTGATAGGGTGAAGCATTGAAAACTGTTCTAGCATCAGCTCTTGCTAATACTGGCTAACTGCCTGGCCTTTGTATACAGGCCACAGAGCATGTTTAGCTGTATTATGCAGTGCACCTGTCAGGGAGCCTGCAAATGTAAAATTCTGCATCTAAATCTGCACCGTGAGAAACAGGAAATGTATGTTGTGTGTTTAAACCACTAGAGATGGCAGAAACTCAGCTCTGTTTCTCGTTACCCCAGAAAATTCTACCACAGTTAGTTCCCGATTTGCAACACGATGCGCTGAGAAGCCTCTTATCGCTATTCTAAAGCCTCTTTAAGTATCACTCCACTCAGCGACATGTGTCAGCCTCGCGAAACAAGTAAAAGCCACAATAAGTTGGGATGAACAATAGTACTGACTGTCTTTTGGATCTGACGATAGCAACTGTCTGAACAAAACCTCAAAAACTTGTATCTCTCTTGTATCTCTTTAATTGTGTTCGCACTGAAAGTCAAGTACAAGACAAAAACCATACAGCATTGCCATTACATAGCAACATCTAACATAGTAATATGTTTCCAATTAATTCCTATTCACCAGCTTCTTAGAGTTTTCCCGTTCCACTTTAAATGGTGCAGCAGTCACTTTTTGGTCCCTGAAGCTGCACCATTTAAGGTGGAACAGGAAAATTCGAACAAGATGCTGGCAAATAAGAAGCTGACTTCAGGTTTGTGTAAGAAGGTGCCAACATTAATCTATTGTGAATATCTACACAGATTAAGGAATGCTATAATTTACCTAACTACAAAGCTTTAACTATCATTGTAAATAAATAACTACTAGATATAGTTAAGATCCCCTCAATAGGCTATTAAATAAACCACATCAGGTTCTCTGTGCCTCATTAACCACACGACCATATCTACACATAAACATCACACAAACAATCTGCATCACACAAACGTGAGTGTGGATCACTGCGTTCCCTCTGTTATATAATCCTATCCCACTTTCTGAGTGTAATATTCTTGAAATAGTGTAATTTTGGACAGTATCTTTCTTAAACTGCCGCTCTGTAATGGTACTGAATGCAGTCCAGCAGCGATGTTGACCGCCCTAAAATGGCGGCGCTGTTGACGTGTCTGACTGGATACAACGCAGCATCTAGGTACGTATATATATGATTCTAACTAATTATGCTACCTTGTCCAAATGTCCTACCATAGTGCATTTTTATAGATAGTACATACAGCTCGAGGTAAGATATTTTGATAGCCTAAATCTCCTTATCAAAAATACTACCAGCCTTTAAACTACAAGGCTGAAATCAGCTTCCTATTCTTGTTCGAAATTTTCCCATTCAGCCTTAAACGGTGCAGGAGTCAAGTCTAATAGGAAGCTGATAAACACATAATCAACTAGCTTCATGAAGAGAAGAACACAATAACATCCAGTTGCTGCAGAATGAAAACACCATTTCAGAGAATTGGAAAATAATTTGATAATGGTACTTTCTCAAAGAATTAACTACATTAATGTTTTTTTCTCAGCTTAACACAAGCTGTAATCTTGTGGTAACCTACATGATATTGCTTGGTTTAATTACAAATTTTCATCATGTAAACCTTAGCTACTCAGAAATTGGCTTAACTACGTTTAGAATAGTTAAATATCTGCTGTACCCCTTTATTATAGGCTTTGGCGCTGGTTAAAATTCAGTGGACTCGAGGAGTCGACTCTAAAAACCCTGAGTCGTTCATCACTACCTGAGTGTCACAGTGTGGAAAGCTTTGGAGTTGACTCCCAATTCCCAAATGCCTTGAATCAAGCAACCGATTCTTTTTGCAATCGACTCCCAGTCCTGCCTGGAATCGACTCGCAGCCCTAGCGTGCTGTATTTCTCCACACAACTGATAGGAAGTGCTTGTTTGGTCTCTTACTTCATTAAACATCAGTAGGATCCTTTGAATACATTGTCTCAGTGTCATTAGTAGTTTTTTGGCGTTTTTTGGTGTTTATAGTTACGTTTATCAGCCAGTAAGCTCATTTTAAAAGGTAACAACTGATACCTAGCTAGCTAGATAACTAGTTTTAGAAAATATCTACACCTCATTGAATCTCTAAGTTAATGAACTGATTCAGGTGTTTCTTTAATGTTTCCATGTTCTCAACAACCTTTCCACAGGAATGGCATTATCTCTCTGTAAGAGAAATAAAGAAGTTTAATTCATTGACTGTTGACGTTTTTAAGTGAGCAAACTTTTCTGATTGATTGTAAGACTTTAATGACTGTGAAACTTACATATATTTGCATCCGTCAGCCAAAAAGCACAGTTTCTGGCAACATGCTCAATTTGAGTGTTTTGTTCTTTCAGCTTTAACAGCAAAGTGAAAGAGAGGAGAAAGAGGAGTGGTTCGAGGAGGACAAGGAGAGGAGAACAAGAGGAGTGGAGGGGGAGAAAAAGGTAGGAGAATAGACCTAACCTTTTCAACTCCTTGAGACCACCGGTGGTTCCAAAACGCGCTTCGTCATATTCTTCACAACTTTCATATTTCATAAGCTACACTCAAAAGGTGGGGAGAGCTGTATGAGAGCTGTAACTGTCTTCTTTCCAGTCAAATAGATGGGTGATGTAATTTTAAACTCTTATAATAAAAGAAGCTGAAATCAGTCGACCCATTTTTCCACAAATCTGGGCTATAAACTATAAACAGATGGCGTCTCTTCAGTGATCTGCTCTGTAAAAATTATTTTTATAAAATAATACAAAGAGCGTCTAAGATTTTTGGCTTTCAGCAGTAAATTGTAGGCATATATTAATATGTGTGATCATAAAACACATGTTCTGAGGGGAACTTTTACAAAAAAAATAAATAAAATAAAAATGTATATTTATTTCATGCAGTTACTGAATAATTTGCCTTACGATTTGGTCATGTAAATTCAGATGGAACAAGCAAAACATACCCTGGTGATTAAGACGTTAAAGGAGAATGTATTTTCAGAAGCTGAACATAAATTGTCATTGATAAAATGAAGAGTAGCTGTCATGGAAGAACGGCAGAAAATGCCTTCATTTCAAGTATTTATTGGTTGATTAAACAGTCTGTGAAAGTAAATTCATCACATTAAATGTATATTTCACTGTTATAGGAACCGGCATTTAGTCAACCATTTAGCAAAACAAACAGTGTTTTCCTCTCTAAAATTGAACCATAAAATTTGGCTGGACTGTTCTCACATTTCACATGACATCACTGTATAGTCGCCGCCATTTTGGCAACGGAATCAGGGAGTGACTGTGCTGCGCGATGCCTTCATTATGCAGGGCTTTGTGAAGGATTCACCTGCAAGACACGACAGAAGCCAAGAGACGAGAGACACACAGACCTTTAATTCAGTGTTTTCACTCCAGGCTTGGAGCCGCTGCACTGTACAATTCAGTGTTTCTCTCTCCTGTTCACACCTCGTTCAGCTCAAGAAGGGATTAAATAGCTAATAATATCAGGTATTTTAACCAGGAAACCACAGTTATGCAGTGCAGTGGTTTCAGGACTGGAGCTGAACTCTGAACGAACTGCACTAGAAAACTTACAGAATCACGTCTGTCGAAACACGACGTCGTTTTCAGACCCACAACGTTCAGTCTGATATTTAACGTTTATGTTTCTCCATTCAAACCTCATTTAAATCTCCAGAAACAGAGAGTAAAGTTATACCGGCTGTCTGCAGCTCCGTTAGGGGGACGACTGTTCATCTCTCGGCTGTTAACATTAGTAGAGTTGTTCACATCTGTGTTAATTAGCTGATGTCGTTACCCTCCTATGATGACAGTTTTTTCAACTTTATGAACATCACGGGGTCATTTACCCCCCCTGACGTGAAGAGCCGGTGGGCTTCTGTGCTGTTAAATGTTTTGAGAGACTCTATAGGGAGATAAATATAAATGTCAGGAAAACAATAATTTGGTAGCTTTTCTGCCAGTGTAAGTGGGATCAGGAGTTCAAAGGAAACTATATAAGGATCACAGACTATTTTATCGACTCGTTACGAGGTAACGTTTTTTCTTTTCCAAAGTAAGGAGAGTAATTTTAGCCATATTTTGCCTCTAGTTACGTTCAAAGCCGGAAATACGGTCCCAAATATGGTGGCCACAACAGAGAAATCACATGACTGAAACCCTGGGTTAGGCAGTTATCTCTGTTACCCTTTGGCTGTGTACAAAAGAGAAATGTGGTGTCACTCGTACAGCTAAAAAAGTCAAAAAAGCATTGAAAAATGAACAGCACTCCTATCACCTGACTGAAAACACATTCTCAGCTGCATACCACTTACTCAAGGTCAAAAGAAACTGCTTTAAAAACTGGTCTGTGCGGTTCCATGGGGACTTCAGTGCTTGAGATTTTTATTTAGGACAAGTAGTTTCACTTTCTGTTATTATTTCACTGGTATAACAAGACTTGAATAAGGTTTTAGGTTTCTTCACCCACTTTACCATCATAAACACAGTGCAGTCTGAACTGAGATCAGCTCTTGAACTCAGAATTGCTTTGTGAGCACCAGTCCTAGCAGCACCTCCCCCTTACCTTACACCAGCGAAAGGAAGGCATAGTGGCTTAACTGCTAAATGTTCTTGACCACAAAAAGCCAGAGGTAAAAACTTTCACTGCAAAAAAACTCAGGTAAAAAAGCCACTTTTATTACTTACTTTATTATAAAAGTGTATGACTATCTTACTTGGTGACAGTACAGTGACAGTGATACAGCTGCTGTTTTATACTTGGGCTGCCAAGCCTTTGTGTAGAATATAATCAAATCTAAACTCAGTCTGTCTTGTTTTTTATGCATTATCTGTGTGAAATAACCATGTTATGCTGTTCTGAATATGATGATATGTACTTGTTATAAACCAATGTTAATTACTTTGTCTGCACCTTAAACTAATATTGTACTTGAACTAGATTTTTGCTGTGTGCATAGTGACCGAAGTCTACAGTCAACATGAAAGCTCTAAACCAGTGGTGTTCAAACTTTTTTCAAAGAGGGCCAGATCGTACCATGTCAAAATACCCGGGGGACGAAATATTATTGACAAATGTTTTAAAATATTAAGTTTTCAAAATATTAGTGCATAGAATCAAGGCTTTCTGTACGAACCCGTGTTTCCTATCACTGTATAAAAGATGCACCCATGTTTCCTATCACTGTATAAAAGATGCACAAGGCTTATTTTATTGTTTGATTGTTCATTCAGAGCAGTTTGGATCGATAAGTGCTTATAATAGATAATTAAACAGTTAATATAATTTGTGAAACAAACTAAACAAAAATCTATGAATGTTTGGTTTTATTAGGTAATGTTCTTTACATATCAAATAGCATAGCTGTGTTTTTGTTTGACCTTAAAGGGTTAATATTTACTGATCTACTGAATTTGCTCTGATAAGAAGTTTTCCATCTCGCCAAAATCAGCAGTTTTCAGTTTTTAGTTTGAGCTTTGTGTCTGTAGTCTTGACTAAATGTAGTACAGTAAATGAAGCTGCAGGTCTGGTCAGCCGCCACCATCAGGTGAAAGGAAGGACCGCAGCGTACTGGCTGGCGGGCCGCTTATAATACACTGTAAAACAGAATCCAGGGGTCAGTTAAAATCTGACCATATGCTGAAGACTTTGGACAGCCTTGCTCTAAACTAAATGACTTTCCCTGAAAACATATTTTTCACCTGATGTTACAGTTTAAATCACAGCAGATGGAGGCGATGTTGTGGGAAATACAGCAAATGTCTACTCAGTAGCTTTTGCTATGACCCAGCTGGATGTCTGGAAGCAGAAGGAATAAAAATGACCACTTGAAAGTTTGTGTGCAAGTTGTTTGGCCTTTCACTTCTGTGAGATTTCTTTACACAACTTGAAAGCTTGACAAGACCTGAAAGCACAAGAGAGTAAAAAATAGCATAATTAGGGGTGTGACATTGTGATAATTCATTCATTGTGATATCGCAGCGCAATACTGTGACAGTGGGCATCATGGAGGTGTGACAGTTAAGCAATAGAACATGAGACGCAGTTTGTTATCACACAATAACATCGGCTGTGATTTGGACGCCAGCACGAACTGAAGGTGCTAATTAGAATATAAAAATCTGTTCAAAATAAAACAGTTCATCAAATATATTTGATGTGTCTTATTGTTAGTTGCCTGGACTAATTATTAGAACTAATCATTTAAAGTAAACCCTTTATGTGGACCTTTGCAAGCAACTAATGTGATGCCAGTTTTAGTTGAATTCCCCTGTTTAAACTCTCCAAAGCATTTGAAGTGTCACTGGAAATGCCGCTGACTATTTGCTGGCACTGTAATCACGGTCACAACTGAATTAATCCCAAAGGTAAAAGTTGCTGCTGAATGTTATTACTTAACCCAGTGATGTCTGTCAACATGTTTCATTGTGACATGCATTAAAACAGCTCTGTTGCTCAACAGGCTCACGTAAACATGAACTGCTGTGGCCTAATAACCGAGAAAAGAAAACAAGGTATTCATTTTTTTATTTTCCTTTGCATAAAATTACTGTTAGACCTTATTATGCTCACTATTCCCATTCATAATGTGTATATAATTGAACTTGTGCAGGTTCACATGACTTAATCCATTAATATATTACTTACACACACACACGCAAATATACATACACACACACACACACACACACACACACACACACACACACACATATATATATATATATATATATATATATATATATATATATATATATATATATAGATGTAGGTATATATTGTCGGAAGAAAACCTTGTATCTCCAAAATGGTAAGTTTACAGGAGAAGGAAGAAACCTACTTTGCTTTTAATGTAAGTCAATGGAAACAGACTTTTTTTACAAGTCATTCTTTGTCGTTTCTTTTGGTTCATTTGTCATGAAATTTACATACAATGTAAAGGACAACAGGCATTTTCAAAATATGTCAAAAACTGAAAATCAATCAATCAAAAATCAATCAAAAAATGAAGATACAAGGTTTCGTTCTGACCGTCAGGTTTAGCTCAGTTTTGTCATGTATGTATATATATATATATATATATATATATATATATATATATATATATATATATATATATGACAAAACTGAGCTAAACATTACATACATATATATATATATATATGTGTGTGTGTGTATATATGCACACAGACACATTGCATCATACAAACAAACAAAGTTCTTGTACCTAAACACAATATGTCTGTACCTAATAAACTGGCCCCTCATGTTGGTCAGAGTAAAGTAGGTTGTGGTACCCAGATTTCCTGTATTCTCATACTTGCAGGTGGTCGTGGTGGGAAAGCGGCATGTGTGGTTTGGTACTTTCCGCAACTGAGAAAGCTGCATCACCCTTTCACATTCTTTCTCTTTTTTTGTTTAAGTTCCTCTGAAGAGTGTGGAGGTGGAGGTGCAGGTGAAGGGGCATGTTGCCACGGTAACGTCTACCCTGCAGTATGTGAATGAGGAGGAGCTTCCAGTGGAGGCCCTGTTTGTGTTCCCGTTACCTGCAGAAGCAGCTCTCTGTCATTTCAGTGCCAAGATCGCCGACCAGGAGGTGGTGGCCGAGGTGCAGGAGAAACAGAAGGTGAATGTGTCAACAGATGGAACAAAAAAGGGGAAGAGGTTGTAGTGGTTTGGGAAATTTTCTTCACAGGAAAGTAAAGGAACTAAAGAGACTTTGTAGAAAGTAGAATGAAGAGGAGGACATGTTTTGGTCAGGAGTGTGTTATCGTGAAATAACATCACATGGTATTTAATGTTTTAATGTTCGCAGTTCCTTTACCAAATTATAGTTCCTTAACAAGCAGCTTGTTGCTACATCAGAGTAACGAACTCCGCCCACTCGCTGCACAAGCCGGCAGTTCATTCTCCAGCTCCTTACACTAAATTCCCAAACTGTCATCACCACTGAGCAGCTTTTCAGTCGGCAGCTGTGACAGAAGAACAGCTAAACAACCTGGAATCAGCCAGAAATGAACCAAAGACCATTTGCCAAACGTGTAGTCTGATCTTCAGAGTCTGACCAAATCAGACTGAGCCATAAAACTGCCGCAATTTCAAGTTTAGCTCAGTTTTGTCAGTTTTTGCCAGATCAATATTAATGTTGTTTTGTTCCAGCCAGTCTGTAAAGCATCTTACAGCCCATTTAGTTTGGCGAATGGTGTTGGGTTCATTTCTGGCTGATTCCAGGTTGTTTAGCTGTTCTTCTGTCTCAGCTGCCGACTGAAAAGCTGCTCAGTGGTGATGACAGTTTGGGAATTTAGTGTCGCCTCATCTTCAGAGTCTGACCAAATCGGTTGTCGGTCAAACGTGATCTTAAAAGTATCCATTTTCTGTTTGTGGCAAAGTAAGAAGTAAAAAATGTCAAACGGCTTGAGCGTCTCCTACAGCTGTCAAAGTCGTTGCTGAGCAACGGCATCTCAGCGGAGTGATACAGCGTTCGTAAAAAAAAACGTGATGTTATGCCGAAATATCTGCATGGTTAGAACGCCTACCAATCTAACCAATCAGCTTGTATGGCCGGAACTAACTGTTGTATAATTTTACATATATGTTTAAATGTCCATAGGCCTTCATGATGCACACAGTTCCACATTGTATGTTAATTTAAACCACATAAACCTGCTTAAGGTTCAATTTGTTCATAGTATTTTTATAATAATTAAGTAACTGAATAATTCAGTAAGTGAATTTGATTAATGAATAAATTAGCTGGCTTTCCATTCTCCCTAGACACTGCAGGTTGGTTCTGCAGACTGATGATGCGCTTTGCCCTCTCTTTCTCAGGCACATGAGGACTATGATGATGCGATAAGTTCGGGGCAACAGGCATTTCTATTGGAGGAGAGCGATGCGAGCCCAGATGTTTTCCGGCTGGCTGTGGGGAACCTGCCTCCTAAAGAAAGCGCTGCTGTGACTCTCATCTACGTCATTGAGCTGGCTGTGCAGGCGGATGATGGCCTGCGCTTCTGTCTGCCAGCAGTGCTCAACCCACGATATGCACCCAGCAACATCGGCAAGCTAATAATAATCGTTATGGACAGTAATGGTTATAATTGTGGCCATTTGTGACCTTCAGGGCCGTGACCAGTTTTTTGTCATGTTAAAATGAAGGAGACCATTCTAGTCTTTCTCGTTTTCCAGTTCTCTTTGCTGGATGTTTAATGCAGTTGCTTTATCTCTCTCTCTCTCAGATGCAAGTAATGTGCCCGAGGTAACAGCTGTTCCTGCAAGTATGGTACCTTATACTTTGTCCCTTAGTGTCCACATCATCTCTCCCACCCCCATTTCCAAAGTGGAGTCCAGCTGCTCTCTGGAGCCACTGACTTACCTTGACACAGCTCAGACTCAGGCAAAGGTGAGTGATTAATGTGCAGCATGATACTCAAGGGCCACAGTTAGGCAGTTAGGAACTGCTGGCCTAACACTCACATTGTTCAGGTTAGCAGATGTGACTGATTTTCTCTCCCATTATCTGAATGCAGGTGAGTCTCTCTCCGGGACACAAGTTCAACAGGCTTCAGCACATTTTAACCCTTAAATATATTTCAGTGTCAAAACTATAAATGCTCAAAGTGAAAAGCAAATCACATTTTAAGGTGGCATACAACTCCCTCATTTTTAAGGGATGTTTTTCCACACTTTATTTATCTGCATGACATGCTCGTTTCATAGAAGTTCAGCAGTATTATCACAATTTTTTGGTATTACACTTAGTCTTAAAGAGGAATTCCACCATTTTTTACACATCTGCAAAATTTAATCACTAAGGTCTCATTCAAAAGTGTTTGGCATGAAATAGTACACTATATACTATATACATCACTATATAATGGTGGTGATTGAAAGCTAGGGTCTATGCAATATGGTCTTTTGAGTTTTTGTATATAACGTTGATAGTGGTAAAATAATGGAAAATTGGATTTCTTTGGTGATTGTATTCCTTACAACTTCCCGCATGTACCTCTTCATAATGAATGTATTTAAAAATATATACATTTTAGGTCCAAATCTTCTGAAAACTATTGTAAAACAGTGTCTCTTCTTTATAAAATAACTTTCTGTGAGTCAGTTTTAGGCATTAAACTCTTCAGACGTCTGGTTCCTATCACCATTGTGAACAATTTTCACTTTTCATTCTGACAATTCTGTTTTCCTAGAACAACATATTTCACGTGAAACCACTCTGAATGACTGTTTACATTTTAACAAGTTAATGTTGAAAAATATAATGACTGCATAATGAGCCTAAAATTTAAGTTAAACAAGTGCATGTGTAAAAAAAAAACTTAGGTTTCCTTATCTCTCAGTATATCCTGGGGATGCATTGATACACAAATGTAATATTTTTATTTCATTTGAGACAGTGGTGCGTTGATGTGATACATTTTTCGATATAGCAAAAAATAAGGAGTATCTGAATGTGCTCTGTGCTCATGTTAATATGTTGTTTGCACGCACATCAGCAGATTAACAGTTAAAGATTCAATCCAATCTTCGATATTTCGTTTGTTAAAAATACTTTAATTATAAACTTTAGAGATTTTTTGGCTCAGATAAATACATGTTCTCCCATAGAACAAAATAAACCCCCAAAAATCACAACCCCTAGAATATGTAATTGATTTATAGTCATTTGAGTATGGGTGAGTGGAGGACATAAGCCCACCCACTTTACTCTGACGGGCTGTACGCCTGCCTAGTTTTGGACATTGACAGTGGTTTCAACAAAAGACAATAAATGAGAGATGCTCGGAAGAGACCAATGAGTGTATCAGTAACAGTGTTATTATCGCGAATAACATCACAAATGTGATTTGGTCGCAGGTACGAGCCAGAGGCCTCAGAATCTGACCAAATGGGCTGCATCTCAAATTTTATAGAAATGACCCAATGTATTGATTTTCCTACATACTAACAGTTAGGTGCCAAGCAGTTACTTAGCAACTGGCAGAGTGATACAGTTGTGAAAAAACCAGAACAATTACTAACCAATCAGATTGTTCTGTCAGGACTAACTAACTAAAGCTTAACCATGTGAAGTAAAACTCGTGTAAGCTTCCGTTCGTGTTTCGCTAGGGAAGCCATTCCACGTCTGGAAGGCTGCTGAACGGCTTTATCAGTTTTTCAAGCACGACCGTGGGTGGAGGAAGAAAGCTGCTCTCCTACAGAATGTTCTGAAGCCTATGGAGCCCCACTGGTGACATCCTGTATAAATAAAAATAATGAGTAAGTAAGGCGTGGGAATGAGATCCTGATACATGGCCACGACTTAGTAAGCCGTGATCTTGTTCCCCTACCTTACTAAGTCATGGCCACGACTTAATCATCTCATTCCCACGCCTTACTAAGTCCATGCATTATTTTTATTTACACCAGCTGGACTCCGCAGAAGTCAGACAACATATCAGGGCTGGTTTAGGACATGGACTTTAATGTGAACATTACATGTTAAAAGAAAACAAAGGAAAACGGATTGACAGATAAATATAATTACTTGTTCATGCTTTATGCCCAAATAGATACCTGATCAATACAGAGCCTTCAAAAACTCTCCCTTTTGCAGGTTCTCTGATGAGCGACTCGGTGGTCATGGTTAGTCTGTACCCAGAATTCCCTCCAGAGGTGGCATCTTCTTTTGGGAAACGTGGAGAGTTTATTTTCCTAATGGATCAGTCAGGCAGTATGAGGGGGTCCTCGATCAAAAGTGCCCAGGTAAAGCTTTGCATTCATGTAAAACATTTTATTGAAGAGGAATTCTAGATGCTAGATATCGACTTTGTATCGTATTTGTGTCTTGAAACGTAATGTCTCGTGCCATTCTGCAGGAAACTCTTCTCCTGCTGCTGAAGAGTCTTCCACTGGGCTGCTACTTCAACATCTACGGCTTTGGCTCCGACTTCCGGTCCTTTTTTCCGTAAGTGCTCTGTGGTCATTGTGTTCCTGAAAAGAACCTCAATTTGACTGTTCTTGCATGGGGTCACCTCTGAGCTGCTTTCATTATCTGTTTGGTTCAGGACATTGTTACTAATTCCTTTTCTTATTTAACTCTTTGTGTTCGTTCCAGTAAGAGTGTGGAATACACTCAGCAGACGATGGAGGAGGCGATGAAGAAAGTGGAGGCTATGGAGGCGGACATGGGTGGGACAGAGATTCTGAAACCACTGCAGCACATCTATGGTCAGGATTACCTTCCAGATCACCCCAGACAGGTACGGTGCTCCTCACTCCAAGAAGATAAAGAATCCTGGAAAAGTCATGGAACATAAAAATTTGTTTTTCCAGGCCTGGAAAAGTTACGCTCAGTGGTGGACAGTAACAAAGTAAATATAATTCATTACTGTACTTAAGTAGTTTTTCGTGTATCTGTACTTTACTGAAGTTTTTCCATTTTGGGCGACTTTTTACTTTCACTCCACTACATTTCAAAGTCAAATATCTCACTTTTTACTCCACTACATTATGAGAAATCTGTCGTTCCTTTTGGTTTATGTGTGTATAAAAACGTAACATGTCAAAACGAAAGAAGTGCGAAGCAAAAACACCAATCAGGGCACAGCGCGCACTTTGTTTTGAGCTTGTTTTGACCTGTTGGTCATACCGACCCAATGCAGCACACGGTTCAACATCAGTGCAGCAGTGTAAAATTTATGAATTTATACAAACACTTTTTCATTTTATTGTAAATTAGTTGTGGCTAGTTTATGTTTATGAACAGAGACCTACAGATGCAGTTTAGTGAAGGAAACTCATTTGTGAACCTGAGTTTAAAGCTTTTATTAAACTTAAACTTGTAACTACGTTGCATTAAGTTAATTAATCTTTTAGTACTTTTACTTTTGATACTTAAGTACATTTGAAGGCAAATACTTTTGTACTTTTACTCAAGTGGAGGTCTAAAGGGAGGAACTTCTACTTTTACTGGAGTAATAATTTACATTGGATATGTCTACTTTAACTCAAGTACATGATTTGTGTACTTCGTCCACCACTGGTTATGCTAAATAAAAAGTGCTGGAAGAGTCCTAGAACTATTCCCTGTACTCTTTATTATCTCATCACATTTAAAACACTGAAGAGTCTAGACTACAAAAAACACCACAAGACCCGAGACTAATGTATGTGTGTGCGGTGTTTGTTGTTCTGTGGGAACTCAAAGTTGTAAACGGGCTCCTGCTACACCCCCTTCTTTTAATTATGTTAACTAATTGAATGTTGTATCATCACGAAAATCTACACACAAACACACACACTCACATTTTCTAAACCCGCTTATCCTTCTGGGTCATGGGAGCCTATCCCAGTGGTAGTTGGGCAGAAGGCAGGAAACACCCTGGAAAGGTCACCGGTCCTTCGCAGGGCAGACACACAGACATACACCTATCAGGCATAACATTATGACCACCTCCTTGTTTCTACGCTCATTGTCCATTTTATCAGCTCCACTTACTATATAGGTGCACTTTGTAGTTCTACAGTTACAGACTGTAGTCCATCTGTTTCTCTGCATACTTTGTTAGCCCCCTTTTACCCTGTTCTTCAGTGGTCAGGACCCCATAGACCCTCACAGAGCAGGTACTATTTAGGTGGTGGATCATTCTCAGCACTGCAGTAACACTGACGTGGTGGTGGTGTGTTAGTGTGTGTTGTGCTGGTACAAGTGGATCAGACATAGTGGTGCTGCTGGAGTTTTTAAACACTGTGTCCACTCACTGTCCACTCTATTAGACACTCCTACCTTGTCAGTCCACCTTGTAGATGTAAAGTCAGAGACGATAGCTCATCTGCTGCTGCACAGTTTGTGTTGGTCATCCTCTGGTCCTTCATCAGTGGTCACAGGACGCTGCCCACAGGATGCTGTTGGCTGGATATTCTTGGTTGGTGGACTATTCTCAGTCCAGCAGTGACACTGAGGTGTTTAAAAACTCCAGCAGCACTGTTGTGTCTGATCCACTCGTACTAGCACAACACACACTAACACACCACCACCATGTCAGTGTTACTGCAGTGCTGAGAATGATCTTGATCCCCAAGAAAAAGGGTGGAGGCTGGGAAGATTGGCTTGTGTTTGTTGGAGGCTTGTTGTCTGTTCACCACATGAAGTTTCTTTCTTTTTTACAAGGTTTTTGTTTTCACTGATGGAGAAGTCTGGAACACCAACAACATCCTGGATCTGGTCAGAACCCACTCTAGATCCCACAGGTCAGTTTATTCACTCATGCACACATGACACCACAGTGCAGTGGTGTAGTTTTAAGACAAAAAAGGGGTATGCTGTATACACAGGGAGCCAGATTCATGTTGACATTAACTTTTCGGTACAGTCGTACTGTCAGTAGTGACTCAGTACTTTTTATTTATCATAATCAACATTCACACGGGTCATATTTTCAACACCTATTTTCACCTGATCATTTTGCATGCATGTGACTGACTCCTAGAGACTTGAGCACAGTGATAACCAGAGGTAGTATCCATAGAAGCAGATGAAACCAAACCTGTTTATGAATGATAAGTAATATAAACCTGACCAATCAAATTGTCATGTGCATTTCGAAACTTGTGGGTAATACATTGTGTTTCCCTGATGTGGCGATTTGAAATAAAAAGAAGTGGATACACATATAAACGTATTACAAATAAACAGAAACAGCCCAGTACAGTAATTCAGTAAATGCCACCACTGACTGCTGAGATGGACTAATGTTGGACTTGTTCACTTCCAGGTGCTTCACCTTTGGCATTGGTCAGGGAGCCAGCACTGCGCTGATCACTGGAATGGCTAAAGAAGGACGTGGCTTTGCCCAGTTCATCACAAGCAATGACCGACTGCAGCTCAAAGTAAGACTGGGCATGGCTCTGTGTGCTTACACTGTTAGTAGAATATAAACAAAGCCAAGCGCAGAGTGAAGATCATCTGTCCTTCTTTCTCTGTAATTCTGATCCGTCTCCTCTTTTCTGCAGGTGATGCAGTCCCTCAGCCTCGCCCTGCAGCCCTCTGTTGTTGACATCTCTGTGAAATGGACCCTTCCAGAGGGCGTGTCCGTCACTGCTTTGTCTCCTCCCCTCAATGTTCTCTTTCAGGGTCAGAGGGCACTGCTGTACGCTCAGCTCACGGGAGAGGTGAGAAAGCTCTGCCTGCAGATCTAGTGCTGTTTATTTTTCTCAGTATCTGTAAGATGGATCACTTTGTTCAATAAATGAATGGAAACATAAATATTTGTTAGTTTTGTTGGGTTTTCATCTGTTATGACTTCATTACGTTTTAGGTCAGATTTATGTTGAAATTCAGATCTTTCTAAAAAGGTTCACAAACTTTCTAGCACCACTGTATGTGAAAAAAAAATCTTCTGTTTAATTTTCTCAGAGCTCTGGTACCGATGAAGGAAGTGTCACCGTGCACTACAGTTTGGCGGAGCAACCAGTGACAAACCAGCTTAACTTCTGCCTTAAACCTGCTGAGGACACTGGGTAAATAACACACACACACACACACACACACACACACACACACACACAATGCGGAAGTCTTTTTATATAGGAATTCTTGTTTTTTAACCACATCGCATGCCACAAACAGTGTGTGTAAATACCTGCAAATAACAACAAATGCGTCATTCTGTGCTTTTTCTACTTACTCCCCTTATTACACCATATATATACAGTAAAGGGACACATTTTGTTTGTTATTTAATACACTTCTTGTGCATATATTCCAGTTGACACGCGTCCATTGACTTTGTATTTAGAAATGTGAACAAAAAAGTATGCATTCATAAGCTTTACTCTGCCGTCGGAACAAAACCTTGTATCTCCATGTTTGTCGTGTCCCTGTTGCCCTTTATATTGTGTGTAAATGTCATGAAGAATAGACCAACAGAAATGGCCTAAAATTATTTGGGAAAAAAGTCTGGTTCCCTTGATTTACATTAAAGGTAAAGTATATTTGTCCTTCTCCTGTAAAGTTACCATTTTGGAGATACAAGGTTTTATTCAGACAGCAGCGATATACAAAGATATGTTTGAAACTCAGTTAAACAGAGACCAGTAAGCAATGAACTGCACCACATCTGTGCTCTTACACCCCAGGCTAAAGTCATCTTCTAAAAAGAAGCACAGAAATGTACATTTAAAATATGGACACCAGCTGGTAGATCATGCAGGGTGTAACTCCAACTCTTATCGAAGACACCTGATCCAGGTAATGAAGACCTGTTTTGGAAAAATGCTCTCTAGTCACACACACCTTCTAAGCCACTTATCCTTCCGGGTCACGGTTGGAGCTGGAGCCTATCCCAGTGGTCATTGGGCAGAAGGCAGAATAGTCACCAGTCCATTGCAGGGCAGACAGACATATACATTCACACCTAGGGGCAATTTAGCATGTCCATTTGGCCTGACTGCATGTCTTTGGACTGTGGGAGGAAACCCACGCGGACACAGGGATAACAAGCAAACTCCACACAGGAAGGACCCTGGACGCCCGGCTGGGGAATCGAACCCAGGCCCTTCTTGCTTTGAGGTGACAGCGCCACCCCCTGTGCCATCTACCCACCCTGCTGCCCGCTCTCTAGTCAGACAAAACAAAAAAGAACTCTCTAGCAATAATTCAGTTAATCATATTTGGTGAAAACAGTTGCGCATGTGATCCCAGGAACACCATATCCACAGGAAGAAAGGGGGTGGGCTCATCATGATATGGGGCTGCTTGTCTAGAGACGATACTGGAGCATTACAAATGATCAAAGGCAACATGAATGAACCGATGCACCAGTACAGTCTAAGAAAGAATTTCATCTAATCGGTTTTGCCAGTTTATAGCTCAAACATAACCACCGAACTGCCAGAAAGTCTGTAAATCTTAAAACAAAAATAAAATATATGATAATATAGCAAACACAGGTGAGACCACGCAAAGACCGAAACGTTTGACAGTCCTTAAATAGGGAGGAGAGAAACCAGGATGAGGAACAGGTGCGTTCACTTACAAGTTGTCATGGTGCTGAGGTTAGAATACTCACTGGGAGGACCTCTTGTGGCATAGTGAAGGTATGGCAGGCTCATATGTGACAGTTGGCCAAGAAAAGGGGAGAAGACTAATACTTTATCAAGGCTGCAGCTCAATTGTACAGCCAAAACTGGTTAAGCTGCCTCCATGGCCTAGGCAACCTCATGACTTGAATTTCATTGAAAATTTATGGAGAATTTTAAAAATCCAGGTCTAACAGAGAATTATGAATTGAAGACAGTGTGCCAAGAGGAATGGCCCAAAACTGAACCACAGTGCTGCAAATTTAAATCACTTTAAATTACTTAAATCAACAAAGTAGTAATGTAATTAATTTGTGGTGGCTGAACATATATATATATATATATTTTTTTTTTTGTGCTATAAATGTAGTTATTAAACCTTTTTTTAATTATTCTTATGAGTATATGCTTTTTTCTTCATATGTCTAAGTACAAAGACAAAAAACATATTTGAAGTGGATATATATGTGCTTGAAGTATATTAAATTACAAAAACGGTAAACAGAGACTTCATACAAAACTATTTGCCTTTTTCCATTTGAGGTTCTTTGATAATTTACACCAAACAGGACATGCATGACGTGAGATAAGCTGGTGAGAAACAGCTATACACACATAACTGACATCAAACTGCTGATGCACAGCCTGATTTCCTTGTTCTTTCTTCTTGACTAACTAAATAAAAAAGAGTGAAGTGCCGTCAAGTCAGATTGAGGATCTGTGGCATGATAACCGATTGTGTCACACCGAGATTCAACACTCGAATGCACACCAAGATAAATAACCGTTGAAATAAATGAATGTACATTTTTTTTTGTTTAAAAACCGGTATTATACTTCTTTTTGGTGTAGAAATGACATAAGCTCTGCACACACATCCCCCCTTTGCTTTGTTTTAGCAACGCTCCCTCCAAAACAGCTAACAGTTATCGAGGAAAGTGATTCCGCCTGCTGTAATGAACTTAAACAGTGCACTTCTACTGCAAGTTCTGAAAAATGTATAAATATAACATAAAAATGCAAACTCCACTATGAAAAAAGCAAACATAGGACTTCGCTATGTTCAAATTATGCAAGTTCAGATCTTTTTCTGTTTTTAGCAGTTACAGTTAAACAATCCTGAAAACTTCCCTCGTCCCTGTTGTGTACTTTAATTCACTTTTTTGTGTAACAGCAGTTATTTTATCTCAGGTAAAACTAATTACAGCAATCTGGAAGTAAAATAAAAGCTGGCTTTGTCATTGTTGATACTCTGTGAAGGCTGGGAGTTCACAGGCTGGCCGCTCGATCCTTGATCCGATCTCTGGAAACGGAGGAGAGGGAAACGAAGGACAAGAGCTTAAGAGAAAAGGTGGTGGAGCTCAGTGTGCAGGCGGGAGTGAACAGCACTTTCACTGCCTTCCTTGCTGTCCACAAGGGCAGCGGACAGCCTGTGAAAGGACCACTGATGAGAAGGACGGTGCCAGTGGCACGTGAATTAAAAGGTGAGTATTGCTCTGTGTGATTATTTATGTGTGTCATTGTACCACAGTGGCTTTCATTCATTTTAATTCATTTTTCAGTATCAAGGAAAGGTAAACTTTAGGGGTGCGGGAAAAACTCGATTCTTAGATGCATCGCGATGCGGACATAAATGATTCTGAATCGATTCACAAAAATCGTTTTTCTAAATATTTAATTTCTAACGTAATGTTGACAGAACGCAAAGGGTGGAACTTGGAAGTGGGTAAGTGCAGCGTCCGGACAGTCTGTGGCGGCACATAACTATAACACAACTGGATGAGTGAGAAATCCGACCGGCTCCCTCTGCATTAAAGCCAGGTTAGATCAGGAGCCACAACACAACTGTTAAGAAGAGCCATTTTGTTAAAAAATCAAACCACCTTGGCAGCCAAAACATTTAATGCCCAGTATGTGTCAGTATGTGATAATGTTGTATAGACTAAACGATATAAACGAAAACGCAGACTTACTCTACCCTGCTTTAAGCTTTAGCTGTAGCCGCTTTCCTCCCATCTCCACCATAAAACTTTTTTCTCAAAAGTTGAATAGTCGCTTCTCATTCGCTAGCTTCATGCTGAACTTTCCTGTTCCACCTTAAATTATGACTGAGGCGCCAAATGTAAATGCGGCACCATTTAAGGTGGAACGGGAAAATTCGAAAGAGAAGCGACTTCTTCTCAACTTTTTAGTGTTCAACAGTCTCTCGTTGCAGATTTAACGTACAAGGAAACCAACTACGTTGCTTATAAATGCGAATTAGTCCGTTCGTCTCCAAATGTCCGTCTGTCTTTCTCTTTTCCTTTTTCATTTACTACTAGCCAGGTGAGAAAAGAAAATGGGTAGGACGGCTGTAACGTGCTGCGTGGTCATCCATTACCACTGGATCTTATGTCACCGCATTTTATCACAGATGAGTGGCAGCAGCGTCTCTTGTGCTCCAAAGGCAGTGAATGAGAGCCTTCTAGTTCACTTGCCACATCACTTCCATTTGTTTTATTAATAAAAGATATTGGATGTAAATGCATTATGGATCATTACAAATACTTTGCTTTAAAACTACCAAGTCCTCACACAGTGAGAAAACAGAAATCCTGTATAGAAAAAAAGATGCATCAATAATCGTTTTATAATCGCATCGCAGCCTTCTGAATTGTAATCGAATCGTGAGGTGCCCAGAGATTCCCACCCCTAGTAAACATACTGACAGAAAATTACCCACAAGCTTTAACAAATAAATATATTATCACTATTTTTACAGTAAGTTTTCAGTATTTAATGTGTCCACGCTTTATCTTAATTACTGCTTCAATTCTTTTCCGGAGAATTGTTCTCAGTGATGCATTCAGTGATGTTGAAGTCTGGACAGTGCATTCTTCTGAGAACACCTGTAGCTCCTGTTTGATTTGCAAATGTTCTTCCTTTTTTCTCGACTTTCCTTTCCTCAATTACAGTTTATTGACCGCTGCACATCCTTTCAGACACATAGAGTTGAGTCTTCTCACAGTAAAAAGATGTTCAGAAACAGTGGTGGATTTTTTACAGATTTGAAGCAAGAGTGGAGCTTGACTTTCTTTTTCAAAGATTTAAATTTAAAGTACTGTTTGTCTGATGGTGACAGTCTTGGTGGTCTCCCAGATCTTATCAGAAAATTCTTGCAGTCACATCATCCAGCATCTGTGTGATATTCCAGCATTCAGAGAGTCACAGTTACTTTCATAATGAGAGTTATGTTTTATGCCTTCTGACCACCAGAGGGCTGCATAGCCTATTGCTGATCAGTGGCTCATAGAACTGAGACAATCAAGTTTGTGGATGATGCCACATTGATCCTATAAAACCTTGTGAAAGTGGATGAAGATCAAAGCCCCTCAAAGAGCAGCCCATGATGACCTCTAATTGAATGGAATACCACAGAGTACCAATTACTTTATAAGTCCATGATCTGAGTGACCTAGTATGAAAACCACTACTTTGGTGTGTGCCAGCTGTGCAACTGTCAAAGCAAATAAACAGTGGGTCAGTGTAACAAAGCGATTCAGTCTTAAATATATAATGCCGGAGGGCAGTGATGTCCATGTATGACAACAGATCTATTGATTTGTTGACAACAGCATAACTTTGGGCAGAAAAGGTATATTATAGCACTACAACACCAGAGAAGCCTGGTTTTGTTCTGCCAGTGGAATTCATCTCAACTTGGATTTTTGATTCACATAGTCATAAAATATTTCTCTGCATAGCTCTGTCTTCACTCGGGCATTGCTGGCTCTCTGTGAGTGAAATGTTGTGACTGTGTTGAGCTGCTAACGAGCAATTAGGGATGAAAGTATAACCCCATTTCCAAAAAAGTTGGGACGCTGTGCAGAATGTGCAGAATACAAAGACAACTTATCAAATATTCAAACTGAGAAATTTTATTGTTTTTTGAAAAATTATTACCATTACCATTTTAAATTTGAAGCCAGCAAGATGTTCCAAAAAGTTTGGGACGGGGGCCTGTTTACCACTGTGTTTCATCAGCTCTTCTTTTAACAACACTCTGTAAGCATTTGGGAACTGAGGAGACACTGCTGTAGTTTAGAAAGTGAAATGTTTTCCTGTCCTTATTTGATACAGGATTTCAGCTGCTCATCAGTTCAGGGTCACATTTGTTGTATTTTTCATTTCATAATGTGCCAAATGTTATCAGTGGTGACAGATCTGGACTGCAGGCAGGTCAGTTTAGCAAAACATGTATATATCATTCAGCATTAATGGTGCCTTCACAGATGTGCACGTCACCCATACCATGTGCACTAATGCCCCCCTACACCATCATGAATACTGGCTTTCTGGATCCTGTTTATTTATGATTTCTTCTTTGCGTTTTAGAGTTTTAATTAGTATTTGTGGATGCAGTGATGAACTGTGTTCACAGACAGTGTTTTTCAGAAGTGTTTCTGAGACCCTGCAGTGATTTCCACTACAGAATCATGTCTGTTTTTAAAGCAGTGCCGCCTGAGGGCCCAAAGATCACGGCCAGCAAATACTGGTTTTTGGTCTTGTCCCTTGCATACAGAGATTTCTCCAGATTCTCTGAATCTTTTAATGATATTATGTACCGTAGATGATGAGAAGCAAAGGTTCTTTGCTATTTTACGTTGAGAAACGTTATTCTTGAATTGTTGCACTATTTGATGGTGCGGTCTTTCACAGAGTGGTGAACCGCTCCTCATCTTTACTTCTGAAAGACTCAGCCTCTCTGAGATGCTCTTTTATACTCAATCATGTTACTGACCTGTTTCCAATCAACCACCAGGTGTTTTTTTAGCATTACACAACTTTACCAGCCTTTTGTTGGCCTGCCTCAACTTTTTTGTGTTGCTGGCATCAAACGTTAGTGGGCAAATATTTTTCAAAAAACAATACAATTTTTCAGTTTTGATTTGTTGTCTTTCTACTATTTAAAGGGTTTAAATGATTTGCACATCATTGCATTTTGTTTTTATTTACATTTTGTATAGTGTCCCAACTTTTTTGGAAATGGGGTTGTATATGGTATAGGTCCCACTGAGGGAATGTTTCCACTGGTTGGCATTCAGCAGCCTTTTTGATGGAGCTCTCTTTATTGTCTTTGCTCAGTACAAGAACAACGCAACGAAATGCAGTTAGCATCGACCAGAAGTGCAAATAGTTGCAATAGTGCAAAACAGACATACACAATTACTAATATATCTATGAATATATCTGTTAATGACATATACATGTATATATATGCATAATACTATAAATACAATATATACAGTATGTTACGTACTGTTAGAGTAAGCAGTTATGTGTTGTATTCTATATACAGTGAACAGTCTGTTGTATGGAAATGCAAGGGATAATAAATAATAAATAAATACTGTATGCAACATACAATATTACAAGATTAGTGGAGTGGTGTGGAGTTCAGCAGGGTGATGGTGGAGGGAAAGAACCTGGTTCTGGTCTGAATGCTTCTATAACTCCTCCTGGATAGGAGGAGGTTAAACATTTATGTGTTATGACAAGACGTTAAACCTCTCTTTACAAATGACACCAATGGATATGTTTGTATGTGAGACTTTGGGGTGATGGAGGAGTCAGAGCAAAATCTATAGGTTCTGAAATTATGGAAGATTCATTTATTGAGAAAAATGACAAATCCGTTCTCTGAGGTCAGAGTCTTAAACCTGGTGCAGTTATCCGTACATGGGTCAGATTTCAGTTTCACTTGCAGTCATTACGTTTATATACTTAATAGTTAACAACATCCATCCATCCATCATCTAAACCGCTTATCCTTCTGGGTCACGGTGGGGTGCTGGAGCCTATCCCAGCTGTCATTGGGCAGAAAGCAGGATAGACCCTGAACAGGTCGCCAGTCCATCGCAGGGCAGACATACACAGTCACACCTAGGGGCAATTTAGCGTGTCCAATCAGCCTGACTGCATGTTTTTGGACTGTGGGAGGAAACCCACGCAGACACGGGGAGAACATGCAAACTCCACACAGAAATTACGCTGGTCGCCCAGCCGGGAATCGAACCCAGGCATTCTTGCTGTGAGGCAACAGCGCTACCCACTGCGCCACCATGCCGCCCAGTTAACAACATTTAAATATTAAATTAATATTTAGAATTGTTATTACTATTATAGGTCTTTTTTCCCTGTCTGTGTGTTAAATTAGTGCTGGGCAGTTACTGATAAAATTCAATGTCATGATATTTTCAAACATATCACAGTATCATGCTATCAGGTTATACTGAAGTTTAACATTAGTAAAGTTAATGAACTCGTGCTCTCTTAGTTTCCTTATTTTTATGGTTTTGAAGCAAATGAGTTAAATGTAAACCATCAAGGACTGCATACCATGAGTAAAGTGCACAAAATTCACTAAAAATATCACTAAAACAGGAAATGGTATGCCAGTACACAGTATATATGATGTGTCGCCCAGCACTTTGCTAAATATTTG